ACTACTTAACAACTAATAGTTAATAATCTAATAGTTAATGTAGGGTGAGATGGGATTTGTGGCCATCCACAAAGAATAAATCGGTTTTTCAATATTATTTTGCTCTAACCAAGGGTTGAAAACATTAGTCACATATTCATAGAAGGTGCTGCTGCACATCCACCACTTTCTGACTTACCTATTGCCCATTCATCGGGAACACTAGCAGCAACTGACGAAGGAATTCGTTCATAACTAAATACGATCATTGGAGGGGCAAGGTCTCCGGCTGCATTTCCCGTGATAAGGACAGTAAGGTTGTCCTTTATCACCACACTTACTATAAAGGGTGTTTATCTCCTTTTTTGCAGATAACACGATCAGGTTTCGGCGACAAGAAAAACGCGCTTTCGTCTGCATTGAATAGCCTGTGTGGGTTGTTTAGAATATTTTTTTAAGTTATGTTCTTCTAAATAACTTTCGATTTCTTTAAACCAGGTCCTAATGTTATCCTCCGATACATTATCTCGAGCTCTCGACAAGTTATCTGGTACTCTTTGTGACAAGTTTGGATGTCTTTCATGAATGAGTGAAACCATTTCTTACCAGGCCTATTATTAGTAAAAGGATTTTTCCTGTTTTGATTAATTATTAGTTTTTGAACACTGTCCAGTAGACAGTTTTAGTTAGGGGAATATGCTTTTCAGCTAAAGTTAATAACCATTTTTCTAAAATTTCTTCTTTACTTTTGTTAAGATGGTACTTGGCCCATACTACAACCAATGGAAGTTCTTCGTGTTATTTTGTTCATGGAGTATTTCTTGGTACTCCGAAACGTTGCGCAGCACTTGCTATCTTTTCTCATTCTTAACAGCTTCAACTGCTTTTTCAATCTGGTCGAGAGTGTAGTTTTTTCTCGGAGCCATCTGTAAGAATCAATTACCTATTACTGGTAACTTAAATATCTACCAATTCGGCAAAGAAAAGATGACCGTCGGTCACCGTATTTCTTGTCAAATGTACAAATAATTAATGAATTGCAATGTGTCGAAATGGATAAGTATTTACTAGTATTCATGACCTTTGACTTAAATTCAATATAAGTACTTAAGTCATAAAAAATTAAGCAATTATTTTAAATTCAAATCCAAAAATAATTTATTTCACAGTTAACAAATTTTATTTTTATAACAGAAAGAATTATTATCAGTGTAATATATTTAATGTATAAAATACCTACTAAATTTAGTTTATAAAATGTATGTTCCTTATTAAATGTAGTTTTTTTTTTGGAGACATCTGTATGAACCAATTATCGACACATTTCAATCCCATTAATCGACATCGTGTCGAATACTGGTAACTCTACTTTAATAAACCTAATTTAAATATCTAACAATTCTGCAAAGAAAAGAGAACCATATTCCGTGGTTACACAAAAATAATTTTAATAAAATTATTATCGACACTCGTCGTGATTGGAGCAAGTCAATTTCTGAGGACCAGTAATCGACACGGGCAATTTAGGTTAAAACAATAACCTCCTAACTTTTTTTATAACATAAATCGATCTTATCATTCCCATAATACGGCTTAAAAACCATCAAATTAATATAAGTTTCAATATATGAAAATAATGAACATATTTTGTACTTACGTTCTTACAGAATCCGCTTAGAAATGCCGTTATTTTATGAGGAACACTAGCCGAACTAAGTTCTCACACGGCCATTTGTAAAAAAAATGGCGGATTTCTTTCAAATGTCACTGGATGACAGCAGGAAGCGTATTGTCTGAGCCACAGTATAGCAATATTAAAAAATCGTATTATAACTCTTATTTTCTCTAATTAGAGAAAAAAATTGTCGATCATTGGAGCTTGTCGATCATTAGTGCCACTACGTTATTTTCTTCAATTACCTGTACATGCCTTGCATTAATTATTCTGTTATTTAACAAAACTCTGTAACTATTTTCATTATAACCCACTAAAATTCCTAGTTGAGCTTTATCATCCCATTTACTTTTTCTTAACACTTCAGGAACTCTAACATAGACTCTACTTCCATAAATTTTTAAATGCTCTACATTTGGTTTGACCCCAAAAAATATCTCATAAGGAGTTTTATTTTCAACTGTATTTGCAATAGTACGATTCTTTAAATAAGCTGCTGTTTTTATTACTTCAGGCCAGTACCTCCTATGTATTTTAGCTTCTCTCATTAAACATCTACCTATATCCATAGCAGACCTATTATACCTCTCCGCTACTCCGTTTAACTCATGAACATAAGGTGGACATGGTAACAACTCTATGCCCTTATACCTTATAAAATTATAAATATCCTTATTTAAATACTCTCTACCATTGTCACACTGAATCTTCTTGACTCTTTTATTAAATTTATTTTCTACTAAATTTATAAACTCTATAAAACACTTTGCAGTTTCAGCTTTACTTTTAATACAAAATATCCTGGTACACTTACTATAATCATCAATAAAGGTTAAAAAATATTTTTCTCCACCATAACCAGTTGTGTTATGTGGCCCATTCAAATCAGTATGAATAAGTTCTAAAATCTCAGTAGTTTTTGTTCTATTATTTTCAAAAGGTACATTAGTCATTTTACTCTGAATACAATTTGAACATTTCATTTCTGTGCTTTCAATTTTATCTGGCAAACCATACTAATTTATTATTTATTATCTTATTTAAGTATTGAAAATTCACATGACCAAGTGCCCTATGCCATTTTTCTTTCTGCGTTAACTTTACAGAATTTGTGCATACTTCATTTTTTAAGACATAACCTTTTAAGCAATACAAATTATTAATTTTATCAGCAACAACTATCAACTCTCTAGACTCATTATATATTTTAGCACTTTCATTTTTAGCTACTATTGTACAACTATTAGTTACCTTTGAAAAACTTAATAAATTTTGTTTTATTCCTTCGACATAATAGACATTTTCTAAATCTACATACTTCACACTATAATAGTTTTTGAAATACATTTTTACAGTACCTACTTTGGTTGCTTTCAAGGTTTTTCCATCTGGTAATTTTACATCAACAAAATCTTTCAAATCTACACTGTCATAAAAATATGAATAATCATTTATAAGATGGTCAGTGCACCCACTATCTAAAAGCCAATTAACTACATTACTATTATTATTAAATGTTACCTTTTCATTACATCCGGATACCTGGTTTACTTCTGGTTTACATACTTCAGCTGTCCATGACTGGGAGGGACCGTTGCTCGAAGATTCACCTTTAGGATGATTGCTAGATGAGTGGCCTTGACCTCTGCCTCGGCTGCGACCTCTGTAGGATCCTCTCTGATGTCCTCGCTGACCCCGACTAGACGACTGGAAACTTCCTTGAGAACTTTTTTGTCCTTGATTATTTCTCTGAGCGTGCCAACAATCCTTCTTGAGATGACCAGTCTTACCACAGACAAAACATTGAGCTCTTGTGGTGCTGGTTGTATATGTACTCACATTATTTTTCTTGTCATCGCACATAGTCATATTTTTCTCCTTTATTTTTGAATGTACATAGTCCACAGTCCTTTGTTCTTCAGGAATCACGTCCAGAAAATCTCCTATATAACTATAACTTGGTGGTAGGGCTCTGAGCAGGTATCTTAACTTTTCAGGTTCATCAATTTTACCTCCGGCTGTTTTGAATTCGTTTATGGATTTTTCAAAATCAACGAAGAAATCCTCTACTGTGTCGTAATTATTTAATTTGATCGCTTCCACTTTTCCTCGACATATAATTTGAAGAGATGTTGATTGAGTAAGATACATTTTGTCGAACTTTTGTAACATGTCAAAAGCTGTCTTGCACTCAGTGATATATTCTAATTGTTTGTCCGAAATAGTACTCATAATAATAGTCCTTGCCTTTAAATCCATCTTCTTCCATTCTGCTTCTGTATTTTTATATTTCACCGGCATTATGCCTATGGCGGCCTCGTTGCATTCTTTGTATTCCAACAAAGTAACCAACCTTAATTTCCAACTCGAATAGTTTGCCCCATCAAAAATAGGTATCATGATGTCTTCTATTTTAGCTTGTTGTGCCATATTTACGTATATTCTTGTAGATTCAGACGTTTTCAAAACTAACTTTTCCGTTGTGACCGGATAACCTCAATCGTAATTTGATTTCATAATTGCACTTCATATTTATTGACTTTTTCGTGAAACCACTTAACCACGCTCTGCTACCATGTTGAAGTGGTGGATGTGGTTGAATAATAGATAATAGCTTGTTATATTTTGTAGTTTTATTAAAAATCTCACAGAAAGCACATGATGGGCGCCATGCAGACGACAAAAGGGAAGAACACAGATAATATATCGACGTCTATGAGAAACTTGCCAACTTAACACTAGATGGCGCTACTTATATTATTTAACTTAAGATTATAATATTTACCTTATTACAACATGTTTAAAAGACGTAGTTATACAAATATAACGTTATTTATTAATTCCCGATTGACGTACGAATTCATTAATAATTTATTTAATCGTTTATACAAACCTTGTTCAGAAAAATGTTAGCTCACAATCCTTACTATATAATATTATAAATCGGTAAGTGAGTTTGTTTGTTTGTTTGTTCCACTTTCACGCCATAACTACTAAACCCATTGCTTTGAATTTTTGCAGATGTGAAGTTAGAAGTCTGGATTAAATAATAGGGTACTTTTTATCCCGGAAAAATTTATTATAAACTGTACAATAAATGTACAGGCTGCAACTTTTACAGATTTTAGTCGGTTCGATTACCGTGTGCGGCAAGCGAATTTCAAAAATACGCGAATGCAGTTTTCTTTCGTCTCAAAAATAAAGGAAAGTTTTATGTGAGTAAAATTTTCTATCTTAGAGTACTTCCCCTTCAGGTGGTATTACAAAATTCCACCCTGTATATATATAAATAAATAAGTAGTGCATTAGTCGATTGTTGATGAAAATATATTAAAATACAACTTACTTTTTGACGCCATTTTGGAAATAGTAATTCCTATAGAAACCATGCAGATCAGTTCTAATAGGTCCTTGGTACTTGATCTGTAGAATATATTGGACTCCAGTTTGCAAGTTCTCGGCCAAATTGATGTAAGCAAAAGTGTAGTTGGCGTTGAATTCTATAGGGTTGACCACATTTAGGGGTATTGTGTTCCCAGTACTGAATACAGCTACGGCGACATCTTGAGCAGTGAAGATTAGATCTTCAGAGTGTAGTTTGATTTCATTCGTGCTGGAACTTGGTGTAAATTGAATATTAATAGTACCGTCGAACGTGAACTGTCTTGCGTCTCCAGTCTCAAAGTATGGTGTTATCAAGATCTGGTACTCGGATGGTATTAGAGGCGTGTTCAGTCGGTAGTTTGTGTCTGTTGTGTACACGCTGGTATACAGCAAGCATGTTAATGCCAGTGTCAGTAGTAAACGACACATTTCTGTAAAGAGATGATAAGTTTTTGTTAGCAATCAAAATTTTGATGAGAGTATATACAAAAATAAACCGCAATAATCATGAGGTTACGTCTCAAATTGTACAAATGTATCTCCCTCCTACTAAATACCCAAGATTTTTCTATTATCTTTATTACACAATTTAGAATCTTTGGTCACACAATGACCATGCCAGGCACGTTATACCCTGAAGAGGGAAGTTTTGTTATTAAATTATCAGGCCAAGAGAAGAAAAATCATCAGATAAATCTGATGATTTCATCATATCATAAGTAAATACAGTCTCTTGAATTCCTGTTTATTTCGTTGGCTAAGTAATCAGATCATTTTAGGCATAATGTATTGTTTATTTAAAAAAAAACAGAAGAATGGATTATTAATAGTTTCATTTTAAAATTTTCAGCACGGAATTTGGAATCACACCCATAAATAGTGTTAAGTTTTAAATTCGCTCTTATGATATTTTTAAAACACAATAAACTTTCATATCTTTACCGACACGATAATTCGAATAAATATTTGAAGTTAGATTTTTATTGCTATAAATAAATGATCACGTATTCTCATACGTGTTCGTCTATTTTCCCTTAGTTATTCAAATAAACGTCATTAAATAATAAAGTACTTTATCAAACAAATAAATTATATTAATGTTATAAAGGAATTAAATTTATACAGCTCTTTAACGAATCGTAACACTCGTTTTTATTATAGAACAAGCTTCAAGTGAAACAAGTGAATTTATTTCTGCAAATAGGCTACAAGGCAGCACTTTTACACGTCAATTTTATCAAGCGAACGATGAGGCCGACATTTCCTAACTGACTACTCTGAGAAGAAATGCCGAAACAAACTCAGAGGTCCGTCTCTTTTAAAGTCCAGACAAATATGTATAAAAGATTATGCGTGAGAACGTCAATGTCAACTTCTGTCAATGGCTTTGCCCGCGTAGTCGTGGGATAAATAGTAGCTTCCTTGTGCTGTACTGCTAAAGAGTGGAATTCTTTGCCAGATTCTGTATTTCCTGAAGGGAGCCTTCAAGGCTCGAGTGAATACGTTGCTTATGGGACGACGTGCTCCATCGTAGACCGCATCATCGCTTACCACACGAGATAGTAGTCAAACTTCGGCCCGTTAAATATAAAAAATGCCTAAGTGTGGGAGAGCCATCCTTCGGCACGAATGGGCCGGCTCGATTGGAGTGATACCACAGCCTTACAGAAAACCGACGTGAAACAACGTTTGCGTTGTGTTTCGTCGTGTGAGTGAGGCCGTACCGGAGGCCCAATTACCCTCCCCTTCCCCAATCTTCCCAATTCTTGAATCCCCAACGATTCTCAAACTCCTAATCCCCAAAAGGCCAGTAACGCACTTGTAACGCCTCTGGTGTTCCAGGTGTCCATGGGCGACGTCAATTGTTTACCATCAGGTGATCCGTCTGCTCGGTTATTCGCCGGTTACCGGCGTATGCTATTAAAAAAAAAGTGCGATTCCAGACCGTAATCTATCCATATTCCAAATTTTGGACCTTCAGCCGTTTTGATACGTGATTGAGTAACAAATATACACACAAACTCACAAACCTTTGCATTTATATTATCAGTAAGACTAGCGACCCGCCCCGGCTTCGCACGGGTGCAATATACTTACATGTATTATACATATAAACCTTCCTTAACAATCACTCTATCTACCTCTATAAAAAAGCCGCATCAAAATCCGTTGCGTGGTTTTAAAGATCTAAGCATACTGCATACATAGGGACTGACAGACGCGGATAGCGACTTTGTTTTATACTATGTAGTGATATATAGATACCTTCTCGTAAGTATACTACATCTGTACGATAGTTTTAAAATTCATTATTAATTTGAACATAAACTTTTGTTTCCGTTTTAGTAAAGGACAACGCGGATTATAAAGTTCTGACATTTTTTATTAATTTTTTGTGTCTGATGTTTTTTATTCTTGTTTAATTATAAATGATTCCGACACTATTAAATTTTATAGCTAGCATTGTATCTTGGCGGACAACATAAAATAATATTTTCAGTAGAGGTTGCTAAAGACATAAAAATTTCAATACACAAATTATGTTTATTTTTTTTCAAATTTAAACTCTTTTCTAACAAGAAAAGTACTGCACTGAAAAGTGTGGGGGAAATTCAGTGTTATTATTCCTGATATATAAAAATAAGGATATTAACAAATTTGTACAACATAAAATAAGCTAAAACTGTTGAAACAGTCAAATAAAAGAATGATAAAAATTACTATTTACAGAGGTCATCAAATTTTTTTTCCGCATCGAAGTCAATAGGGAAAGTACCTATGTAGAAGGCTGGCAGCATTGCCACGTTTTATGGCAATGCTTAACCTCTGACCGAGAAACAGACCAGCCCTCTGGTCACGAGATACTGCTACATCAGTAGAATATTAACTCATTATTTCAGTTACATAGTATTTAAGAATTTTAAACATTCATCTTTCAATATTGAAAGCTAAACGATTGTGTTCTACAACCACCTTTCAATCAACAATCAATGAATGTCAATGTGCGGATACTTTCATAAATTTGATCACGTTAACTATGATTTGTATTGTATCAAATACACACAAACACATCGTATGTAATGGAATAGGTGAAAAAACGAACACTAAGCGCACAGATTAACCTCTCCAGTTCTTTAGAAAACAGATTTATTATTACACACTGTGTCAATTATTATTACTTTTTCTGCCCCGGGTCCACAGGAAGAAATTTCAATAGGAATAGGTGGTACCTTTGTACTTTAATAATATAATATAATCTGTTAGGACCGACAGTGTCTAAGAGCAAGCACGTTAAGTCAAAAATCCACAAAAATAATTAATTAGTAGCAAACTATGTTCTAAAAAAATATAAGAGTATACATACACAACATGCTTACATATCTACAGCCAAATGGCGGTAAACATATTTTAAAACAAACGAAAAATTCATTGGCATTTAGAATGTTATAATTAAAACTGATAGCTATGCAGTGAAAATGGTGTCAGAAATCTAATTAAAATTCAAAGATAAGAAGATATTATTATAATTAAAAATGAACCAACCTGTCGTGTTCACTAGTATAGTTGATACTACCTACTGAAAACTGTTAGACAGTTTACTGTACCATGAGATATCTATGAGTCGTTACTCTGACTGAGATAAGGAACATCTTAAGTGTTGTGTTATCGTACAAGATTGTGTACCACTCGATGACAAACCTAGTCATATCTTATGGGTTGCACTTAGTAAAAAACTCTTTATAGTTCATCGTTTAAAGGTATTGTCGTTCACTGTTTAAGGGCGATGGCGTCATAGTCCCTTTTTTTGTCTTATTGTAAAGGAAAATGATAATTTAAAATTGTAAATGTCCTCACAGAAAACCAACGTGAAGCAATGCTTGCGTTGTGTTTCGTCGTTTGAGTGGGGTTACCGGAGGCTCAATAACCCTCCCCTTCCCCAATCTCCCCAATCCCTGAACACCCAACGATCCTCAAACTTCTAATCCCCAAAAGGCCGCACTTGTAACGCCTCTGGAACACCAGAGGTGTTACAAAGTGCGTTACCGGCTTTTTGGGAATTGGAAATTAGATGATTGTGGGGGATTTGGGGATCGGGAAGAGTGGGAGAGGGGTAATTGGGCCTCCGGTAACCTCACTCATACGTCGAAATAACGTAAATGTGGTTTCACGTTGGTTGTCTGTGAGGCCTATCACTCCAGTCGAGCCGGCCCATTTGTTTCGAAGCAAGGCTCTCCCACAACTATTTAATAATAATAATTGTAATAATTATTATCACCATTGCATCGTTTTTGACTACTGCTTGGACATTGGCCTCTCCAAAGGTAAACGTCACTGAACTCGATCTTCTGCTCTAACCACTGCCAACCATATTGCAGATTTCCTTATTCCACTTAACTCGAAGGACCTTACTAACATACTACCTAATAATAATATGATCATGATTAGCCATAAAACATCCTTTACTACAAAGAGTATTTTATCTTAAAATTATCTAGTAGGCCAATGTTTTTTTAATGGAATAAAATGAGCAGACGGATCACCTGATAGTGAGCGATCAGCGTCACCTATGGACACCCGCAACACTAACATGCTTGCAGGAAGATTAGTAATATAAGTACCTGAGTTTATACCACATTCAAATACAATAACTCTGAGTCGCTAGTGCTGTAGCCTACAACAAAACAGATAGACGGACAAACACTTCTGTATGTAACAATTTAGATGGTAACTGTCACTATGTTGATCAAACACAAACATCTTGACTTAAGATTGAATCGATAACATTGTACAGAATGTTTGAGATATTGAATTTACCACTGTATTGTTATTTAAACTTCGATACCTATCGAGACACTCTTACATTTGTATCTTTTGAAAAATCACTTGAAATAGGTGAAGGATTTTATTTCAAAATGTTCTATCTTGTATTATCGGACATATTTTGTAGAAATGTACCTACCTTACTGAACTACCTCTTGCATAATTTCTGCATCCTAGGTTTTCTGTAGATAATAAAGTTACTTTGTTCTCAAATTATTTTGTATTCTTCTCATTTATTATTAATTTAAAGTATTTTTTAGTTAAAGAACTATAATAGGCGTTCTCACTAACTAAAATAACTTATAGGATCACATCATCTTCATCATTAACCCTTGCCGGGAAAATCGTACCAGCTTTAAGACCCAAATCCCAAAAACACCCACAAAAATAAACTAAAATTAAAACAGTGAATAAAAAAGATAAAAAAAACCAAAAAAACAACAAAAGAAAAAAAAGAATAAAAATCCAAACCTAACCTAAGTTATGCGTTGGTGAATACTAACGCATTTTTTGTTCTTTTTATTATTATTTTTTTATTCACTGTTGTAATTTTAGTTAATTTTAAGTTGCATATTTATGTTGTTTGTAATTATGTTATTTAAGTTTATAATTTGTAAATAAAAATTAATATACTAACGTAATCTAAGTGGAATTCATTGAATAATGTAACAAATAAAACTAGCTCTTGAAAACGGAAACTATGTCTTTATTTCTGTATATTTATAGTATATTGGATACTTGTGTGAGTGACTGTGATGAATTGTACCTATAGTAAAAAAATGTACTTATAGAAAATTATTGAATTTGTTTCATAAGTTGTGTCATAATTTGTGTCACAAGTCAATGATTCCTGAATTTGAATTTTCTAAGACTACTTCGGAATTTTTATGACAGTTAGTTTTTTTTGTTTGTGTATAAAAAGCATTGCTTACAATTATGTAGTCGACTGCAAGAGCCGTTATAGTAAAAAGTTTATGTATTATAGACAACTACTCATGAGAATAAAAAACAATAGCATATTTAAGAATATAAAATTATTTATTTAACAACAGTAATAACAAAATTCCTTTAAGGATAAAAATAATTGTAATATTTTGAAAAAATACTTTCTTATTGATGTACAACATATATACTTATTTATGAAATATGCAAGCTGTGTACAGCGCATCCTATTTTGTCTGTTATCACAGTATGGCTAACCATAGATATATTATCATATTGCTAACACAGAGACTAGAACCTCCTTACAATAAATAAGCAAGCGTATAATATAACCTTTTACTATTACGATCTACTTCAGCAACTAATAATAAATAATGTGTTTTGTAACCAGCTGTACTTGCGACCTTATAGCCCTATTGTTTTAATTTCTGTACAATATAGCTTGAGACTATAAATAAAAAACATATAACAGACTGGTATCAAAAATTATGTACCTACATTGTTCTGTGAGCAAAGGTGCGGGTACGGCTTGCTTTGTCATAAAATAGATGTGGTTAAACAATTAAAACTTAGATTCTATTTCAGCATGATGGCTAATGCTGTCCATAAAAGCATTATGGTGGCTGGGAAAGCAACTGTGGCGGAGCCTGGAGCAGGTTCTGGTGTAGTCGTTGGTTCTTCTTCTTCACTGGGAGATGAAGGCTCTGGCGTTGTTGTAGTAGTAGTAGTAGTAGTTGTAGTGGTTAGTTGATCGTCAGCTATAGCTATAATCTCTGCAACTTTATCGTTACCCCACTGGATATTCGCTCTAGCAGAAGATATTGCACTAGTCCCCGCGTTAAATGCAGAGGGATATTCTGCTTGGATTAAAGAGAGCATAGTTTCGTACTGAAAAATGAGTTAAATTAATTAGTCATGAAGTAAAACAAAGTATGACGTCATGATAGGTAAAGTTATACATAATTCAATAATTAAATAATGACTGCCTCGTTGGCCGAGTGGTCGTAAGTCGTAAGTACCTCTGCCAACCCCTTCGGGGATAAAAAGGCGTGATGTTATGTTAAATAATGACTGACACAGTAGCCAGTCATTAGGCCCAAATAATGGCACAAACCTTAATAGGCTTGTGCCACAATAGTGCCTATATAGTAATCCATATATTAGGTACTATTCCATTTAACTTAACTTTACTTAACTAAACTTTAGATTCCATACAAGCACTGAAAATTTACGGAACCTGAAAGTACATGAGTACTTTTATGCTTTGCCAGACCAGAGAATCGAACCCTCTTGTTTCTTAGCCAACTATTACATTTGTGACTAAATTATCAGTGCAGTACAAGAAAATTAAAATTAAAATGTGGTTATAAACTTAAAGCAAGTATATGTTAAGCAGTGGACAGAAAGAAACTGGCTGATAATAGTACGTTACAAATATATAAACTCACTTCTACTAAGCCTGCCTCATCCAAGTAGCCGGCAATGTTGGAGAATATATTTTGGAACCACGCAGGTAGAACAACCCTGGAAGAGAAGTAAAATACAATGTTAAAACTAGCATTAGAACACAACGCAAATAATTCTATTTCCCTAAGGAATAGACTCATTGTAAACTAAATATAAATATTACATTTTTGCTAAATAATTATAAATGTTTTCGACACTCGAAATAGCAACTGATGAAATAGTCTCATGAAATTAAGTACTTAGATATTTTTTAAATCAGTCACATAAAAATATTTAATTTATTCAAGATACCAAGAACACTATATAAACACTATAAAGTTTCAAATAAAATAAGTATTAATCGCAAAAACTTACGCCTTTTCAATTTCTTTCACGTTTGCCTTGATGAATGGTATAGCGTATTTAGCGTTGGATGAGTCTCCCATGTAGAAGAAAGTGAAGGCGTTCACTCGATCTTGAGCCTTAACGTCTTCAGTTAAGATTAATTTCAGGTATCTGAGAATATAAGATAGTAAAAGTTTTAAAACATTACACTTCATCCATGTTCCATAATGCAACTAACTGCATCGAGTTGCAAGTTGGAATATTTTCCATTCATGCTAAATTATTTTCACTTTTTTTTAAGGGGGGAAAATCATCGAATGACTGCTCCTGCCTGGGTGAGGCGGGTGTGAGTGTTAGACTCTTACTGACTAAAAACCACCCCGTTCCTTCTCCTGCACGTCGAGCCGGAGCCCCGGTTACCCGTTAGGTTCGCCGCGACTCCGAGGTTCTCCGCGACTCCGAAAATTATTTTCACTTAGTGTCACAATTTTATAACAAAAATATGAAATATCCTTGAATAATTGTTAAGATAAAATTGTGAGCCGGTCATAAAAACAGTAATTATAAGAACAAGTAGTGTAAGTAGTGCAAAACAGAGTACTCACTCGTTTCTAGCTTGATCGTTTGTAGCACATCCTAAAGCTCTTAACATTGCCACCTCATCAGCCTGGTTGTTGGACTCCTGACGACGTTTGGCAATGAAGCTCCAGTCTTCAAAGTTGCCAGCTCGGAGACCCTCACAGAAGGTATGACGTCTCACGTTAGGATTGACACTGAAACGAAACACAATACGTAGATAATTCGAGGCAGTAATTAATAACTAGAAAAATAACTCAACTACTTTATATAATTTAGAAGATCATGCATGAAACACGTATCGATAAGCTTCAAAGTCAATTATGTTACACCTAAACCATGTACTAATACAGATCGCGTGACTAACCTCTATTTACCATGTGTAAATCGCCATGATGATAAAGAGGTAATCTTACTAAGTAACTGCTTAATAAAACCACTAGGAAATTGGCTGTGTCCATTAGAACAGTAATTTGTACATTTTTTGGCATATTCCTAATAAAATGTATAGAAAGCTATATGATTTTTGACACTTATCTGTCTACATTGAACTACAATTCTGAATTATTTATTGTTTAATTATTATCTTTTCGATTTACAGCCTCACCCGCGCTTCACTTAGCGCACAAACGGTCTGTGATGACGTAAAAGTAAAGCAAGCAAACACACATTTCAGTCACACACAGTCCAATCTTATTTCTTGAAAAAAAAAATAGAAGAACATAAGTATATAACAGAAACAGACACTGCTTACCTGGCTACATCACCGAATTTGTAACTCTTAAATCTGTTCACGGAATTGTTGATGCACTCTTGGTGACCGATGTTGCAGGCGAAGTTGAGTAAGTAGAATCTGTTAAGAGTTCTAGTGATGTGTTCATTAGCATCTACATCGAAGCCAACATCCTGGATAACGTTGTCGAGGTAGCTGTAGAGGAGACGCTAAAAAAACAGAAGAAGTTATGCAAATGAAGACATTTATTACAAATTGAAAGTTCAACATAGGTCAAGCAAAATCAAATAACTGTTCGTTAGTTCACCAAAACTCGAAAACCACTGATTTGGTTTATTTGTTAAATATTTGTACAAGTTTAAGGAAGGTCTAAAAATTACTGAGAAATTGCGAGGGAATGACTAAATTCGACATTTTTTCCATACGACATTCCATATCAGATACTTTGAAGCAGTACTGACTTTATTGGGTAACCCATAAGAAAACTTACGTCGAAGGTAGGGAGTTGCGCGGTGTGCAAGAGCCTATTCCTCAACCAGTTAAAACCGGATATTGCTGGATACCAGACGTAGAAGCTTGTGTCTTTCTTCAAGAACTGCAGAACTTGGAAGCCAACTTGTAATGACAACCTTTCAGATCGCATGAGTGCGAAAACGTCGTCAACAATCTGAAAACAATATATTACTGTTAATATCCATCCTAAGGCTGTCTAGAAGAGATTGCTCTATATGATTAGGTTACCATATTTAACTTCTTATCTATCTATCTATATTAACTTTTTTTTTGTCTGTTTGTCTGTTTGTCTGTTCACGCTAATCTCAGAAACGGCTGATCCGAGTTGGATGCGGTTTTCACGAATATATTGTGGTATGCTTCAGTTATGCTTTAGTGTTTGTTTCATGTCAATCGGTTCATAAATAAAAAAGTTATGTCAAATTAAAGAATCACGTCGTGAGTATATATTAAAAAAAAACGCTGCGCTCATAGTCACTATTCCACGCGAACGAAGTCGCAGGCACAGCTAGTATTTAATATGTATAAAATGGTGTTTTTTTTTAAAGGGGGAAATTATCGAACGACTGCTCCAGCCTGGGTGAGGCGGGAGGGAGTGTCAGACTCTTACTGACTAAAAACCACCCCGTTCCTTCTCCTGCACGTCGAGCCGAAGCCCCGGTAACCCGTTAGATTCTCCGCGACGTGTATAAAATGGTGTACAATAAAGAATCTGTCTATTTTTATAATAGGATAAAGTCAATTATCAGAACTGATTTTAAAATGGAAACATTTTATGTTTGTTACACAAAACTGTTCTATTTAATATTATTTTTTTATTTTTGCAACAGCATAATATTAAATATAATAAACCTAAGTAATAACTTCTTATTTTCCAAAAAATGACAAAAATAACCCATATGTAAGCACCTATAGATAAAAGCATAAGACTGCCTCGTTGGCCGAGTGGTCGCAATTGCGACTGCCGGGTAAGGGGTCCCGGGTTCGATTCCCGGGTCGGGCAAAGTATTACTGGATTTTAAAAAAAATTCTCAGTAGTAGCACAGAGTCTGGAACTGTGCCCGGTATATGGCACTAGGCTCACCCCCTATTACATGGGACTCATAACATAAATAGTGAAAAGTGGGTGTTACATTGTACAGTGATATAATGTGCACCTCTGCCTACCCCTTCGAGGATAAAAGGCGTGATGTTATGTTATGTTATGTTATGTAAGCACCTATAGGTAAAGGTGATTGGTTTGAGGTAACTCTTAGTGAAGCAGTATTTTCAGATATTTTTGTTTACCTGAGCTCTGTTTAAATGATGAATAACGTTGTGATCAGTTTGAAGTTGTTCTGCGAGCTTCAACCAGGTTTCCGTGTCGTAGTTCACTCTGTAGATATCTAAAACACAAATAGAATGTACAATAAATAAAACATTTTGTTATGCATAGTTCTACAAAATATTAATATTTTATAGGGCACCATTAAAAGAATCAAAGCATTTTCTATCTAAAATACATAGTATCTGTATAGATACTATAGGGTATCCTATGCTTCATTTATCTAATGTAGACAAAGAAAAATTTTCCAGTTACAAGTAATTGGGTATTTGCCAACTAGTCAAATTCAATACTTTGTGGCGTAGTATGTTAGTACTTGTAATCATGTATACTTATAACCAATATATAACTCGTGTATTACCCGAAATAAAGTCAGTTCTGCATTATACGTTGAGATGTTTCAATCACTCTGACACCCGTCCTTATAACTTTTTGCGAAGTATCAAAAACGACAGTTCGTCTATGAATTTTGTACGAGATTGTGTTGTGACGTCACGTTGTTTTGGCGTCTAACACTATATGTACTTATTTCTAAAAAATGCTAAAATTATACTAAAATTATTTGGTCATGAAATCATTTAATGAAAGTGTGATTATTTTTTTACATTGTTTTGTATTGAACAGTCGAAATAATTTATTTTTGATTATGGAAAGTACCCAATTGTATTATTTTTATTATTATTAAATTCAGAATGCATGTGACTTTGCAATGGACTTACTCTTTTGTTGCACATTGAAGATAACCCAGCCGCCAGTTGCAACATTTTGGAGAGTGTCAGTCTTCGTAGTCATTACTTTGACAGGACTGAGATTGTTCCAGTTCGGGCTACTTTGGGTTGTGTATGTAATTGGTAGAGGCCAAACTTGTTGTGTGGGAGACGCTGATGGACTGATGAAGAATCGGTCCTAGAGAAAGTTATTATAATTAATTCTACGTGGTCTTCTATGTATATGAGACAAAGTCATTGCCGTAGTCAAAACCGACTTATCAAGCATACATGAAACAATATAACACACCAAACACATCAACAGCCTATATTAAATGCGTACTGTTGAGCAAAGCCTCTTTTCACACGGAGAAGGTTTGAGCATTAATCACCACGCTTGCTCAATGCGGGTTGGCAATTTCAAACTTATAATTAGAAATTATAAGCTCAGGCTTCCTCACGACATTTTCCTTCACCGTTTGTCAGTGTTGTCTAAATAATCATAGAAAATACATACATACAACTCAGAAAAAGTCGTATTGGTACTTGCCGTTGGCAGGTTTCGAACCCGCGCGCTCATACATAAGAAGCGGGCGCCTTAAGTCTCCGGGCCACCACGACTTGTATATATTAAATATAATATGTGTATTATATTAAATATTATAACGAATACTGCAAATTTCGTCTCCTTATTAGGAGGATTATAGGATTATATTATTATATTAATTTCTTTTTAGCTTGCAATCCAATCCAATGCAAGCATCATTTTATTTGGTATTTCTTATTTTACGTTTCTGTTTAAAATTGTTTTACCTGTTCAAGTTCGATGGTGTTAGCTTCGCTGTTGACTTTAACATTGAGGACAGGGTATCCTTCTTCAAAGACCCAGTAGGACATGAACGATCTGATATCCAGAGCAATACTTTCTTCCGATTTATCTGCTAATGCTTTTGCAAAAGCATCGAAAAGATGTGATGGGAAGGCGTGTTGGTATTTTCTAAAAAGAACAATAGTTTTAATTATGTAATTTTATGTTCTTATAATAACTACCCTGAGACATACTAAATTAACTAAAATCGCGGGTTACTCACGGGAATATACTGAGAAAAGCTCTACTAGTTTCTAACCATAGAGTGGTTCTTCCTCATGAGCAGCGTGAGCTGCGCGATGTCGCCGCGACCGTGAGTAACCCGCGATTTTAGTTAATTTATATAATTTTACATAAAAGAAGTTATTTTTTTCTTATTAATTTGTAAAATTAGGCTACCAATATACCTCTAAAGTATCTATTTGCTTTATAAATTACGGTATGCTTACCTGTCATCCAAAAAGTTGTATAAAGCCTTCTTGAAAGTTTCTTCAGATACCAAATGCTTCAACATGAGAAGGAAGGAGGCTCCTTTAGAGTAGCTAATGCCAGTGAAATGACCAGTGACATCAGAAGGGCTATTGACGGTATGCTGTAAAGCTCTGGTGCTAGTTGCCGAGTCAGCGGACAGTGCACTTTGAACGTACATAATGTTAAACTGATCGGCCAATTCCAATTCGGGGTATGCCTAAAAACATGTATATAAAGGTTAGAGTTAATCATTTCAGTTATGATCTTCAAGAATTTAAATATGTTTTATTAGGTGCTATGGCTCTTATTCCTTAACTTGTCAATTAAATAAAAATTAAATGTTAATTCCAATCAAGGACTGCCTCGTTGGCTGATTGGTCAAAAGTGCGACTGCCAGGCAAGGGGTCTCGGGTTGATTCCTGGGTCGGGCAAAATATTACTGGGTTTTAAAAAAATTCTCAGTAGTAGCACGGAGTCTGGAATTGTGCCCGGTATGGGTATGATAATAGGCTCACCCCCATTACATGGGACTCATATCATAAATAGTGAAAAGTGGGTGGTGTGGGTACCCCTTCCGAGATAAAAGGCGTGATGTTATGTTCAATCATTATTATCATTAAACGAACGTAAATATAATATCATAAGACTTAAAAGTGTTAAAGGTTAATAATGTATACTTACGCCATCCATTGCGAAGTATTCGAAGTAGCTAGCGAAACCTTCGTTGATCCAGACATTGTCCCACCATCTACAGGTGATCAGGTTACCGAACCATTTGTGGGCAAGTTCGTGAGCAGTTATAGTACCGATAGATAGCTTGTCAGCAGCATTTGTTTCACCCTCTTCATAGAGCAGACGAAGTTCCCTAAAAGATTCAATGTTTATAAATTTATTTAAAATTCCTTTTATGCCTAATAAACGTTTTCTTCATTTATGGCAGCTCCAAACGATCAGTTTCCATATACGTATAAGTTTATAGTTAAACTCGTAAAACGATCTAAAAGTTGATTAGGGAATGAACAGTTTCTTTTGATATTTAAGTGTGGGAGAGCCATGCTTCGGCACGAATGGGCCGGCTTGACCGGAGTGGTACCACAGCCTCACAGAAAACCGACGTGAAGCAACACTTGCGTAGTGTTTCGTCGTGTCAGTGAGGTAACCGGAGGCCCAATTACCTCCCTCTCCTTCCCCAATCTCTCCAATCCCTGAATCCCCTTCAAACCTCAAACTCCTATACGCCAAAACGCCGGTAACGCACTTGTAACGCCTCTGGTGTTCCAGATATACATGGGCGACGCCGATTGCTTACCATCAGGCGATTTGTCTGCCCTTTTACCGGCTTATGCCATAAAAAATCATAACTTGGAAACAATGTACAAAGCAGTATATAAGGCATACTAAAATTGGTTTAGTAAGTTACCTGTAAGTCACTAATCCCCAGTTTTCAGTAGCTCCAGAAGCCCAGTACGGTGAGGCAATCTGGTCATTTTTAATGCCCGGAGCCATAGTGTAGTAATCGATATCTAGATATTCACTAAGCCAGTTGGTTATAGGTGTTCCTATTTCCAAAGCATATTCTCCTTGACCATCAGCGTTAGATCTTGCGAGAATTCTGTAAGACCTTTCATTGTCCTTATTGTCAGCAATTACTTTAAACCCGTCACTGACGTGGAATGTCACCAAGTAAGCCGACATTCTTGGAGTCACTTCGAAGATCTCTTTAATGCGCTCGTTTCCCTGCCTGTAAAACAAATTGTAAGGTAAACATCATTAACGTGAAATGAATAAAGACTTAAGTTATGCAATTTTTTGAGTATAAAACAATAACAATTTTTTATTTATTTATTTGTCTAAATATTCAATTGTTGCATACTTAATGTGTCTTCAAATTTTTTAATAAATTATTCCGAACATTTTATCTTGCTCATGACAATTTGTGATTCAAAAACGTAGAACAAGAGAAAGGTAGCAAAAATGTTTAGTTGGTGACTAATAAGCTTTCATCAAGTTTTTCCGCATCAAGGTTCACGAAATTTATTGATTATTTTGTTCATTTATGCTTACACTCTTAGCTTATCTGATTATTATCACTAGGGAAGTGCCAGCTGTGGTTTATTCATATAGTAGATAGATACACATATACGTGGATACTATTCTGATAACATGTACAAAAATTCAGATCAATTTTCTGTCTAGTTTATGGGGCTGCCAAAATTATTGCCGACTTAAGAGTAATATATATGAGGAACCAGAAAAAGGGGTAGACCTCTTAAAAGAAGGGATGATGACCTCAGGCAAGTGGCAGAGGGTAACCCCTGGCCGTGTAAATGGCACAGATTAGCTCAAGAACGACATGATTGGAAAAGGTTCGAGGAGGCCTTTGCCGATCGGCAAACAGATCTCCAGAAAATAAGTAATAGGTATTTTACAGATACTAGACCTAAGTAATGTAAATTTTAGGCAATTCTAAATTAGACTATTACATAATTTAGAATTGCCTAAAATTTTTCGTTGTAAGTTGGACCTGAATAAAGGGCTATGTTATTTTATTAAGAGTAATGTTGAGTAATTATATAAAAATTCTAGCAGCGTTTATCCAAGTTGATTAGGTATTTATAATCGTTATTGTGATGAAAATGATGCAAAGTTATGGAGACGATAAGAAATTTTCTTTCTTGTCTTTTATTTTTTATAGTAACGTATACGGTATAAGTTCTGTTCAAAATAGAACAAACAGCTAGGTTAAACTGTAACTGTTAATTTAAACTTTCGAAGCTCGATCGCATTCTGATAACCAATGAGATGGCAACATTGAGAGTGACAGAATAGCTATAGAGCATTTTACAATACCTAAATTAATATATCAAGTAAAACATTAGGATCAATGTGTGTATTTAAACGCGACGATAGCTTGGTTGTCGATGTGATAAAATAAAAAATGCGAGTGGACTGTATATAAAATGTAATGAAATGAATATTAACGAAATAACAAGATGGAACAAGAAATAATACGAAAGATGGCAACAAGTAATAAAAATGCGTGAGCGCAGCCGTGCGTCTAGGCGTGCCACCGCTGCTGACTGGCGCGACGCGGGGCGCGGGCTCGGCTGTAGACCGGCCGGCGAGCCGCACCCCCCCGCGTCCCTCGTTCACTGCCGCTGGCGCGCGGGCGCGCCCGGCAATGTTGAGACAGGTGCCTCAACAAATGCAGTATTTTAATTTCCTCATCTTATCAAAGACTGTATTGTGATAAGGTATTTAAAATTTATATTAATGTTGTAAACAAGTATGACTTCATGTTTCCATTATCTTAATATCATCTTCATACTATAGAACAGTTGGTAATTTCGATTAAAATCGATACAAAAATTTTTAAAACGATTTATTGCCGTATTCAGAGACATTATTTGAATGGTTCATTAAGCTATCCTTATCGTCATCCTTACTTAATATTATAAATCGGAAAGTGAGTTTGTTTGTTTGTTCTGCTTTCACGCCGTAACTACTAAACTGATTACTTTGAAATTTTGCAAACGTAAAGTTAGAAGTCCTGATTAAATAATAGGGTACCTTTTATCTCGAAAAAAATTAATCATGCTTGAATCTATAGCGCTACCTATAATTATTCGGTGCACTCTTCGACTCATTTATTTGCTGTTTTATCAACGAATTACTTATTGGTATCTATGTAGTAATTATGCTACTTAGCGATAGATGGCACTGGATATTTTTTAAAACGTGGTAACGTAGTGTTTTTTAAATATTTTTCGCTTTTAAATTTTGGTTTCTACCGTTTTACATTAAATTGTCTATTTTATAGATTTTAGGTTGTTAAAAGTACGGTACACGAAATTATAGCGTCAATACTAAACAAGTAGCAAATAATTTGCACGCTGTTATTGCAACGCTCGATAGATGGCGTTAGGATCGACTGAGATGGCGCTACGATTATGTTACCAGCGAAACTATAGGTTCCGAGCTTCCGAAACAACTATATTTTTTTTGCTAAGTAGTCAACAGCCTTAGCGTGCAGAACTACGAAACTGATCCGAAAAAAAAATCTATATTTTGGTGTAAGCATCTGCTTGTTTGTTTATTTCGCTCGCTCAGTAATAATAAATCTAATAATAATAAATCTTTATTCATTATAAGAATTGGTCATATTACAGATAAACATCTTAATTTAAAATCAGAGATCACACTAGGTTTAATGCCTGTACTAGGAAGAATATCCTGTATCACAGGCGAGAGGAGCACTCACAATAATACTAATTCTAGGACAAGTTATATATATAAACAAATTCCTTAACATAAGTAATCGATCAAAGGTAAAGTTGATTATTTAATATACATACATACACAAGTACATGACTACATAACATGATATATAACTAAATATTAATATTATAGTATAAGTACATTTATTAAACAAGTAAATATATTAGCTTAGATACAAAATAATAGATAGATATACATATTATTATATATATATATATAAAACATTGTAGGAACTATAGTACTGAAGAATTTGATACATCAACAGAAACATAATCTAGTTTACAGTCCAAACGGGCATTCACTCGGTGTTACAATAAAATATGCTTGAACAGCAACAAATTGTTGAGTACGCCAACTTGTTGCGATGTTAATTAATGTGCAAGGAAAGGTTAATCAACTCTGTAATCTGAGAATATGACAATCACGCGTCCTCATAATCGATAGAGTTGATATACCTATATTCAGCTATTTTCCTAGCCGGACAGTCAGTGTCTCCGGTTTTATGTTTATTGGGCTTATTGTAACGAGAGCATGTAGCACATTTAGAGGATTCCGACTTTTTAGTGCACGAGGATTGTACATGCCCCGCTTCTCCGCAGTGGCCACACGATGAGTTGATCTCTCTGCATGATTTTGCTGCGTGTCCATATAGTTGGCAATTATAGCATCGCGTTACAAGCGTAAAGTCTCTGACGGGGCAAGAAGTCCAATTGATATAAATTCTCTCTTGAGATATAAGGGCTTTACGTATTTTGCCTGGAACTTCGATGATGAAATTGCAGGTCGGCGCATCCTTTCTTCCCGATTTGTGACTTAACGTGACTGATGTTAAGAAAGACTCCATTGTCATCTCCGGGAGCTTGTCAGACACGTTCTGTTCATAAATACACCTGAAGACGTCAGCATCAGTCATTGTCGACGGCACTCCTATTACTGCGATTCGTGGTTTGCGCTTCTTGGGTTCGTCTGCGAGAAGACCGGATAACGACAGGCCAACTGCATTCTTCACTTTTTCAGCATCCTGTTTCGACTCAGTGCTGATTATTACACCTCCGTTTTGTGTCTTGCGGACTCCACGCACGCGCAGCTTCATCTCACTAGGTCTTATAAGAGTTTGCACCATAGTTTTAGTTTCCTCGCTAGTTTTCTGTTTATTGGTCGGATACACAGCGACAGAGGCCAGATTGTTTGGTCGAACGAAATCGGATCCTTTTCTCACCATGTCCGCAAAAGACACATTCTTGGTTGTAGTAGAGTCCTTGAGAGATTTTTTGATCTCATCAATTTGTTTCGACAGGTCACAGTTGTCTCTCAATTCATCCATTATGTTGACGGCTAGGCGAGCTTGCTGCTTCAGAGCTTGATAAAGGACAGCCATTTGCGAGACATCAGCTCCAATTTTACGGCTCAGGTTTGATATTCTAAGCTTTTGCTCCGAATTGAGTTTGCCTTCCGTTGCAATGACACATACTTCATTTAACTGCTGTTCAATGCTTGCCATCCAGTTCTGAATGTCGGGCGTGGACACAGCTTCTATAGAGAAGTCAGATTTACGGCTGCTTTCTATTGGTGAGGCACAGGAAGCCAGGTTGTTCGGGAATTTATCCATTTTTATTCAAATATGATTATGTTTCCATTATAAATTACTAAATTTCAAACTAAGCAAAAATTATTTAGTAGGTCACTCTTGCGTTAATTCAACAATATGTTTAATGCACACGTCTGTTCACATCGAACGTCAATAGTTGAATGTCCTAATGTAGTAATAGTGTAGTGTAATAATAATGTAGTAATAGGTTTGATTATGTTTTTTTTTTTTCTAGGGACATAATACATATTAACATCTTTTTTTCATTGTTTAGATTGATTGATACAATAGCTGTATACGAGGAAACTTTTAAAATTGTAAGATTTTATTAGTTAGGTAAAGTCTTTTATATTGAAATGGGAGGATGGTATTTGTGGTAATGCGAAAATAACTCCTTCTGTCTGTTGTTCTTTCACGCCTAAACGGCTGAACGGATTTTAAAGTCATTTGGTATGAAGGTAGTTTGAGTCCTGAAAAGGCAAGGCTTTTACGCGGCATAACTTCTCATTCCGACGGTAAAATTTAAAAAGCGCGATAGAACCGATTGCCAATCGAGCGGAAAGCTGTTTGTTTGTTTGCCTGTCTTAAATGGCAAAACGGAGGTACTAATTAACATGATTTTTTAGCTGGAGGTAGTTGAAGGGATGGATAGTCACATAGACTAATTTTTTTCCTTTTGTGACGTGAGCGAAGCCGCGGGTAAAAGCTAGTAGACAAACAACTCACGGTATTGATAACTGCAACTTCATGTTGGAGAATGATTCAGAGAAGCTAGCTGGCCTGTTGATGGTAATTTTGAAAGTGGACTTAAATCCAGGCTCGTCAAAGCTGGGGAAAGCCTGCCTAGAATGAGTGGGCTGAAGGTGAGTGGCCAGGTACCAACTGCAAAATAAAATAATGAAAAACATTAATTAATAGTGCATAGGTATAAAATAAAACAAATTATCAAATTTAAAGAAAGATATAAAAGTACATTGAAAACGGTAGTAAATAAAACCAATTACAAATCAACAAAGAAAAATAGACGTTTAGAAAACAAATAATATAACATTATGCCTTTTACCCCCGAAAGATAGGCAGAGGGTGTACATCACGGCATTTAATGCCACTGTACATCGTAACACCTAGTTTTCACTATTGATGTTAGGAGTCCCATGTAATAGGTGGTGATTTTATTGTCATATACCATACACAATTCCAGACTCCATGCTACTATTACTACTGAGATTATTTTAAAAACCCTGTATACTTTGCCCGACCCGGAAATAGACCCCGAGACCCTTTTGCCTGGCAGTCGTACTTGCAACAACTCGGCCAAAGAGGCAGTCAACAAATAATGAGGGATATTAATCTATGTATTTATTTTTTTATATTTAATGTGATGGCGTTTGGCCATTGAGTTGAAGAAAGAAATATATAAAATATTAAAGATCTTAAACTCACCGTGTAACTCCGTTTTCATCTTTGTAGTTTCCTCTGAAAACACCCCTGGAGAGAGGAGTTTCGTTGATGTTACCTACGTAGGTAACCAACAGTTTGTATTTCGTTCCCACTTCCAAAGTAGTGCCGGTAGCTAGGTTAATTTTCAAAAATTGGTATTGTCGGTCACGTACAAATCCTAGGCCAGGTTGCAAATTAACGATTTCATCATTCTCATTCTTAAATAATCTTACTGCCGAAACATATTTTACATTTTCATGTATAACAAAAGAGTTCAAATTGGGTTTGAGAACCTGTAAAAGAATGTATAGAATGATAAGTATATATAAACGATGTTCAAAGCATTTATCGTGATTAATCCTTACTTCCTTACTAATATAATATTATAAATCTGAAAGTGAGTTTGTTTGTTTGTTTGTTTGTTCCACCTTCACGCCGTAACTACTAAACCGATTGCTTTGAAATTTTGCAGACGTAAAGTTAGAAGTCCAGATTAAATAATAGGGTACTTTTTATCCCGGAAAAATGTGATATTCCCGAGGGAAAACAAAAATATTAGTATAGATGGCGCTGTGTGTATTCCTGTAGATGGCGCTTGTGCCGTCTAAAACAATTCAACGAATTACCTACTAATTGGAAATTTCACGCTTTAATCTATAGCGCTTATTTGGTGTTAATCTACACTTATTCAGTGCGCTTTTCGACTCATTAATTGCTATTTTTATGTAAAAATACTTAAAAAACACAACGTGGTAACGTTGTGTAGTAGTTACGCTACTTGGCGATAGATGGCGCTGAGTGTTTATAAAACGGGGTAGCGTTGTGATTTTAAAGTACTTTTATCGCTTTTAAATTTTGGTTCCTACCATTTTACATTGAATTGTGTATTTTATAGATTTTAGGTTGTTAAAGGTACATGAAATTGGTGTCTATGTAGTAGTTACGCTATTTTTTAAGTATTTTTCGCTTTTAAATTTTGGTTCTAACCATTTTACATTAAATTGCGTATTTTATAGATTTTAGGTTGTTAAAGGTACACAAAATTGGTGACTATGTAGTAGTTACGCTACTTGGCGATAGATGGCGCTGAGTGTTTATTATTATATATTAAACAGAGTAACGTTGTTTTTTTAGTATTTTTATCGGTTTTAAATTTTGATTCCTACCATTTTACATTGAATTGGGTATTTTATAGATTTTAGGTTGTTAAAGGTACACGAAATTGGTGTCTATGTGGTAGTTACGCTACTTGGCGATAGATGGCGCTGAGTGTTTATAAAACGGAATAGCGTTGTGTTTTTTAAGTATTCTTCGCTTTTAAATTTTGGTTCCAACCATTTTACATTAAGTTGCGTATTTTATAGATTTTAGATTGTTAAAGGTACACGAAACCATAGTGGCAACAATACTCAACAATTAGCAAATATATTGTACGCTGTTGTTTCAACGCTCGATAGATGGCGTTAGGATCGAGTTAGATGGCGCTATGGTTTCGTTACCGGCGAAAGTATAGGTTCCGGCCTTCCGTATCAACTATATTTTAGGGTACGCATCTAGCGTTTAAATTGATTATTATTTGTTCGATTTGTAGGTTTGATTAGTCAAGTCTTATTTTTTCTAGGTAGATATTTAAAGTACTATAGTAAATTTTTTTCGTCGTTCTAAGACGCTTTGTTCATTGTTTACGTTGATTGATACTGTAGCTATATTAGTTAGGTTAGATTAGTGAAGTGGTTTATTTCTAAGTAGATGTCTAATGTAGTTAGGTTTTCGATAATAACACTTATAATATAGTTTACCACTCAGTTTTGGTTTAGCATTGCAAATATAACCCTTATAGGAAATAGAAGTCTTTTAAATTAAAATGGGAGGAGGTGTTTGTGGTAATGCGAAAATAACTTCTTCTGTTCTTTCACGCGGCTGAATCGATTTTGGTATAAAGGTAGTTTGAGTTCTGGAAAAGCAAGGCTTTACCGCGGCAGAACTTCTCATTCCCACGGAAAAATCTAAAACGCGCGTTATAACCGAATTCCACGCAAGCGAACAGCTGTTTGTTTGTTTGCCTGTCTTAAACGGCAAAACGGAGGTACTTAACGTGATTTTTCAACTGAAGGTAGTTGAAGGGATGGGTAGTCACATAGGCTACGTTTTATCTTTTTGTGACGCGAGCGAAGCCGCGGGTAAAAGCTAGTATGAAAATATTCATTAGTCCTCTAGAAAAATCAGCATCTATATATAATACAGATGGACGTAAAGTTGACATTGAATGTTTAGATGCATGTATCCAAAAAAAACAGCTTCTTTGTTACAGCGTCTGGAAAATGCCAACAACAGTCTTCAAAAGGTCATTACTGCCATATTTTACTTTCCAACAATTTGCATTGCGATTTTATTGTTTTTGTGAACCAACACTACTAACGTAATTTTATACTAACGTTTTTAATAGTACTCTAACATAAATGGACCTTAAACTAAACAAAGGCTCAAAATTATTTTTAGAGCTGCATCGTCGATAGCAAAAGTGACTCTTTGAAACTACATATTTATACAAAAAATAAAAACTTTTTGCTTACATCGAAAACAATGTAGACAGTGCCATCAAAAGTAAATTGTTCTTTTCCTTGCGGAGTGGTAGCTTCAGTGAAGTATGGAGTTACTTCTATATCATAACTGATAGGGTCCAAGTCTTCAGGTAGACGGTAACTACTATCTGTCGCAGTTTTGATGGTTGCCACATCTTCAGTGGCCAATGGTAGAGGTCCATCAGCCCATGCAAACGCGACTAGCGCCAAAACGATGACACCGGTAAATCGCATGGTGCTGGAATAACAATTGGTTTTAAATCGTAAGTAAAAGCTGTATTATAACAACTAAATATCCCCCCAAATAATACTAATTATATTACTAAATCACAATCACACCTAAAATACTAATAAGCCTAGAACATTTGTTTCAAAAACACCTACTTAGGTATATACTAATGTTTTCAAGACGTTTTAGAAATCTATTTACAAATAATACACTATGAATAAATAAAGTGTGAGAGAGCTATGCTTCGGCACGAATGGGCCGGCTCGACCGGTGAGATACCACGGCCTCACAGAAAACAGACGTGAAACAACGCTTGCGGTGTGTTTCTTCGTGTGAGTGAGGTTACCGGAGGCCCAATTACCCGCTTCCCCAGTCTCCCCAATCCTCGAATCCCTGACAATCCTCAATCTCCTAATTCCCAAAAGGCTTTCGACGGTCGTGCTCTGACTCTCACACCAATATGTGTTTCCTTCTTATACTTTACCATAAAAAAAACTAACTAATACAAATTACGTCCACGGATATGAGAGTATATGCGTGTAGATACTAACGATACATATTTGGCAAATAGGTAATATCCATTATATACTTAGTGTAGCTTAGCACCTACCTACACCGATAAAATCATTTTTGATAAACGATTGATGTGTACTTTGTTCTTCATGTAGTATCAAGATAATGTTAAGGCACTGAATTTTTTATAAGTATTTAATCAAAGGACAGAACTATAATATTTTTTCCTACAATAAATTGAGCCTAACTCCTGTAACAACAAATGATAGTTGTGAAAAGAGTTTTCTAATGACATACGACTGGTCATGATTGGTCGGTAGGTACATTCTGCCAGTCATCCTGTATAGGATTTTTACTACGTTTTAAGTCTAGGGAACTTGACATAAATTAACAGTTACTTAACACTCTTATCTTACGATACTACCTTATCTTACACTCTTAAGTAACTGCGATACAACAAAACTTCCTAAAAACTATTACGTAGGTACAATCTCGTTCATTTAATATAACTATAAAAAGGTAAAGATAATTAAATTACTTTTAAATATTAAAGACACGTACCTGTTTCGCAATTGCACCACACGAAATGACTTTAATTTCAATACGTTAACATCCACAGTCATTTATAGATTACAATATATAATAATATTTATCAGAATTATCAGTCAGAAGGTTCTGATAACGCAAATTATATCGATAAAAAATTTTCGTAAATGATTCAGTAAAATAGCACGACACCTTCAAACAGGCTTCATGGTCTATTTGAGACAGGACATCCGTGAAGGCACTAATATCATGTACTCCAACAATAACAATTCTCATAACTGTAGATAAACATGCTGTTCATTCAAATTCACTGTTCAAAAATCCATGATCTCAACACCTTTGTGCATCAATAAGCTGAGTTCGTCTTTATTTATTTATATGGCATAACAAACAATTACACCCATTTTTCTTCTTGTAACTGTCCTGTGCCTTGGAGAGCTCAAAATTCTTATCTAGTATTCTACATCATAACCAAGATATTCTTTTGAATTTTCTACCAAGATAACTATGAGTCTGTAATGAAGAACATATTGTGTGTGTAGTCTGCGGATATTAATATTATGACACTTTTGCTACGGTAAAAACTGAAAACTGCTAAATTTTGTTCGGAGCAAGGATCGATAATCTAAGTTTCCTATGCCATACCGTGAGGCAAAGGCTCATAATCATAAGCTCACAAGGAGACCGACCGGCAATGCACCTGTGACTCCTCTGGAGTTACGGGTGTCCATGGATGGCGCTGTCATCGGGTGATCTGTCTGCTCGTTTGCCTCCTATTCCATAAAAAAGAAGACATAACAATGAAAAAGTATCCAACTTGAGTTCACAGCTTAAAATTTTTCCTACACTACATTGTTGCTGTCAGTCTTCAGCTTTTGATACCAACCACTATCAATCACCAGTTAGGTCAGAGGTCAGAGAAGGTCTCTGATAGCAATTATTTAATGCTGGTTTTATTAAATACTAGCTTCTGCCCGCTACTTCGTACGCGCAATCCCGTTTTCTCCCGTTGCCGTAGAATTTTCAGGATTTTTTCTGTCATAAGAACCTTTTCCTGACAATGACGAACACAACAAAAAAAAAATCTGCCAAATCGGTCTAGCCGTTCTCAAGTTATGCCGTGAAAACGGGAAACGGGTTTCATTTTTATATATGTAATTGTACAACGTAACACCCACTTATCAATATTTAAGTTATGAGTCCCATGGAGCGTGCAACTACTGAGTTTTCTTAAAAAACTCAGTCATACTTTACCCAACCCGGGAATCGAAGCCGAAAACCCATGCCTGGCAGTCGTACTTGCGACCACTCGGCCAACGAGGCAGTCAATACTAGGCCAAAATAAACAATATGCATAATGATTGCAACAATAACAATGATAACTTGGTTCAATATGAACTTTCGTTTTAAAAATGTACGAAGGACACATTTAATGTTGTCATATTATAACGGGTAGGCAACGGTACATGCGTACCTTTCGACAAGGATATAGAATGAGTCAGTCGTATACATCCTTCAAAAACCTATCCGTATATTTTGTAAAATTAATCAGGATATCCTCTTAACATTGTAAAGATAACATTATTTATCTTACAGTTTGCTTTCCGGCTAATTCATGTAACTATTTGACGAGGAACTCGTCTAGTCTCAAGCCACGCTAGGGGTTTATATTAATGAGCAGCTACATGATAACTGCGCGACATTCGCCACGTCGTCGTATATCTTGGAATGCTGCTCATGAATATAAGCCAATATCGTAGTTTGAAACTAGTTTAACTTGTAGAGTACCGTCGTTATAGACACAATTAAAGAACAATAAGTTGCGGTCACCGGTGACTGCTCGGTGTTTGACAGTTTAAATATAATATTTAATGTAATACACCTAACATCACGCCTTTTATCCCCGAAGGGGTAGGCAGAGGTGCATATCACGGCATTTAATGCCACTGTATAATGTAACACCCACTTTTCACTATTTATGTTATGAGTATGTAATAGGGGGTAAGCTTATTCCATTTAACGGGCATTCTATACTCCGTGCTACAACTAAGATTTTTTTTAAACCTAGTAATACTTTGCCCAGCCCGGGAATCGAACCCGAGACCCGGTCGGACTTGCGACCAGTTGGCCAACGAGGCAGTCTAACGAGTTAATTTAGTATGTCCCACGAAAGTTGTAATACGAAAATTGTATTTATCTTCTTTATTATTCATATCTCTATGCATTTTATTTCAGCATGTTAAGAGTCGGTAACTGCTGCATTTTGTACCTAATATCTAAGAAGGGAAATCCCTAAACATCTACTTTTCATAAAGGTGTGTGTGAGCTTAAGATACGATAATACAATTTTGACTGCCTGATAAATAGTTTTAGGTAGTTTAAACATCGGATTTTTTAACTTAAATTTACGAATTACTCGCGTAATTATTATACACTAAGAAAAACACTACTAGTTTCGAGTCACAAAGTACTACACAACTAGAAGAGCTTCTCTCAGTATATTTACTTAAGTAACCCGTAATTTTTCAGTAAAAATTGAACAAATTAAACTACTTAGTAGACACTACGTAATATTTAGCTGCCCGTGTGACTAGGGATGACGTATGGTACCGAGACTATGTTCCTGATCTCTGGCCTTCTGGAGAAGCTCAATGTTGCTCAACGTGCGATGGAGAGAGCTATGCTCGGGGTTACTTTGCGTGACAAAATCAGAAATATGAAAATTCGGGAAAGAACTAGAGTTACCGACATAGCTTGCAAAATCTGTATACTGAAATGGACAGGCCACGTCGTTTGAAGAACAGCAGATGGGCCAGGAAAGTCCTTGAGTGGAGACCACGGACCAGAAGACGAAGCGTGGGCAGGCCCCCCTCTAGGTGGACCGACGACATCGACAGAGTTGCGAAGAGCCAGTGGATGCAGGTGGCGAGTTGTCGCTCAACGTGGAGTACTAAGGCAGAGCTAAGCCTTTGTCCAACAGTGGACGTCTTCTGGCTGTTGATGATGATGATAAATATTTAGTTGATTAGAAAGGGAATGTTACACTAGTTTGGACATGTAGACTGGATGGATGAAAATAGAGTAACGAAAGAAGTATACAGAGCGGATATGAATGGGGCCGTCGGTATAGAGGGACATATACTGACCAGATTGGCTATATATTAAAGAAGGGCCAAATTAAAACTACTCTTAACCTACGATCATGAATGAAAAGAAGAAAGAAAGAAAGAAAATTTGCTCACCATCACAAACTACAATAACACACAAAAAGTAAACACTGATGAATGTTGAAGGCGAAAGAGGTATGTAAGAATCATAGCAATTGGCGTTCCATAGTTTCTGCTTACCCTTGGGGGTATGGGGGACAGACGTTAAGTTATGTATGTACTAACCATAATATTATTATTATTTACCTAAATAACAGTCAGGTCAATTTTACATAAAATGTCATAAATGTAGCTTCCACAATTTGTTAATAAAACTTAACATTATTTTCCTAATGAATCTATATTCATTAGGTTCAAAATCATAAATTATCTGCATTAAGTACTAATATGCAGGTAAATCTATGTCCAAGCAAAACTCAGCTTAGTGTCCTGTAATTTCTTCAAACTTTGTACTCAGTACTTAAAAATTGATGAAAATGATAATTATAATTCCTAATAATAATTATTAATACTTTTTCCTTATCATTCGATTAACGATTCAATCAAGAATCATGCACCAGCAATAGCGGTTTCCTTTCAGAAATAACTGCACAAACATACATCTATACATATTCACTAGCGGACCCGACAGACGTTGTCCTGCATATCCACTTGAATGTATAAACAAAAATTCATTCAAATTTGTTCAGCCATTTAGGATAACTAACCTAGACACCGACTGCAGTGCCATCTGCCGGGCTAATTTGTGAATCTAAACCTTTCCCAGAACCCATTGAACACACACAAAAAATTTCATCAAAATCGGTCGAGACGTTTGAGAGAAGTTCATTGACATACACACTCACAGAAGAATTATATATAGGTATAAAGATAGTATGCATACCCAAAGTGTGCAATTTGGAAATGAATGCAATTAATTTAAATGGTGTTTAATCGAATTAAAAAAAAGGAGTATGTATGTATATTAGTGCGCGATTATCTCACGATTGGCTGAACCGAATTTGATATGCGGTTTGCAAAAAAAATGTTTGTTACACTTAGAATAGGGGTTTATTTAGCATATCAATAAACTGACTAAATATGAGGAGGTTGAAGTCGGATTTTTAAACGCAGTATATAACAGACAGCCTCGTTGGCCGAGTGGTCGCAAGTGTGACCGGGCAAGGGGTCTCGGGTTCAATTCCCGGGTAGGGCAAGGTATTACTGGGTTTTTAAAAAAAATCTCAGTCGTAGCACGGAGTCTGGAATTGTGCCCGGTCTATGGCAATAGGCTCACCCCCTATTACATGGACTCATAACATAAATAGTGAAAAGTGGGTGTTACATTGTACAGTGGCATAATGTGCACCTATGCCTACCCCTTCGGGGATAAAAGGCGTGATGTTATGTTGTGTTATATAAAAGAGTTACATAGTTAAATCTTAAAAGGCGAAATTGAGTCTGAGAAAATTATTCTGAGATGGAAAACACTGTCAAACATTTACACAATGTGCGTTTTCTTGATCTCAACTCCTTGAATGACCTTAATGTTCCTTGATTATGTCTATTATTTTCATCATCAATTATTATTACAATAACATTATTTACAATTCACTTTTAACTTATTTTGGGAGCTCAACACATCAGCAGTCTTTCTCATACTAACGAATCAATCACAAAAATAAATCAAAAACAAAATACCAATAAAAACGATTTATTTCCAAAAATAAAATTGTAAAACAATTATAGCTTAAAAATATTTCTAAACAATCTGTAGAAAGACTGTCATGGCGACTAACATGAACAGTGACGTCACAGTAGTTGTTGCACTACTTCTTGTGGCAGCGATGATTCTGTCAACGTTTGCTGTGCCCCAAGCCATGTTAGTACGGGCAGATTCAATAGAACTCTTTATCGTTGCGAGCTGAGGAAGATTTGGCTGCCCATTTAACCATGATTCATACTGTAAAAGAAGAATAAAATCATTTGTATATACATTTCTTTTTGTCCTTTTATTTGCTGATATTATAAAGACATAGATTTGAATAGAAAGGATAGTATAATATTAACATTAACAAATGCAGACAAACAGTTTGCTTAAAAAAAAAATTACTAATATTTACGTAACATAACATCACGCCTTTTATTCCCGAACGGTTAGGCAAAGGTGCACACAGAAGTAACACCCACTTTTCACTATTTATGTTATGAGGTCCATGTAATAGGGGGTGAGCCTATTGCCATATACCGGGCACATTTCCAGACTCCGTGCTACTACTGAGATTTTTTTTTAAATCCCAGTAATACTGTGCTTGATCCGGGAATCGAACCCGAGACCTCTTGCCCGGCGTGCCCTTAATTAACTCTTTAATGCACACAAAAATAAGGTACATAAGGCGGACTTGATGCCATATGACATTTTTTTCCAGTCAACCTTTAAGTTAAACAAAATTAAATTAGTTTTAATTAATGAACAACCATTTTGTTATGTTGTTCTAATATAATTTTGAAATTAATGTAGTGTTCAATGCTAAAACTGAATATGCTGAAAAGTGTCTTTACAGGTTCGAAAAACGGCTTTCTTTTCATCATTCATGATTTTTCTATACATATTAATAAGTTTTATGCATTTAATTTCCAAATCTATGTATATGTATCTGACTATACCACAGAACATATAAAGAAGGCGACTATACCATACCAACATCCTGTTCAAAACTTTAAAATAAATAAAGAAGGATATACGATTCGTGAATAATACAGAAAATAATCAACTAAAGCATAAATAGAGGTCATTTTCCAAACAAAAGTAGTTCATAAGGCTCAAAAGATAAAGTCTTTGAAAAGTAGTCTAATCTGATTAATACGTAATACAGGAATCTTATCAATATGATTTTTATTTACACTTTTTCAATGATAACTGGATCAGGTTAATGATATGTAATCATATTTTCAAGATTACTAATGAGGCATTACAATTTGATAATTGTACTTTATGTTTCCATTTATACCATCTTTACCATAAGGGCACTCGGGGCCCGTGCCCAGGGAGCCCCAAAGGACCAACAATTACTACGACGCACAAACAACAATCGGCGGATGATCCACAAATTGTTGTTTCGTACTTGTATTTTTGTTAATGCACCCACGATATAGGAGAAAATCCTAGTTTGGGGCAACGTAAAAAAAGAAATATTCCGAAAAGGCCCCAAATTACTGTGTAGTAATTCGGGGCCTTTTTGGAACCACACACCAAGGGCCTCATTGTAGTTTAAAACGGCCTCGACTAACTACTGTACTTAAATGATTTGATAACAAAATAAACCCCTTTTTAACTATAAAATCTTTACTATATAACAATCATCACAACAACATGACTGCAAATAAAAATAAAAGTTGACTTGAATAGTTATTCTAGCAAAATTAACAAAGAGGTTTTAAAATAATTTAAAAAAGCCTACGCAAAAGACTTCAAACTGAACATTGGTAGTTTTTAAAGTTTCAATGTTGCAATAATAAGGTAAAGACCTAAATAATTTTATTTTAAATTCTGGATCCCGATCGACTAGGGCATTATAAAATTATTCTGAGTTTAGTTTTACCTCGATTATTCTCTCTCTATAATAACCGTGATACTAAAAAAGGTTTGCGAAATTCGAAAATTCAGAATACTCACTTTAGATAGGAATTTAAATCTTTGTCTATTGTTAACCATTCATACAGCGAAGGAGGTAGGTATAGGGGAAACTATTTATGAAAAATATTTTTATAAATGTTTTCCCAAAGTTTGATCTGAAGGTTACATGTATGTAGTCGCGCTCGGCTTTGAATTACGTCATCGTAGAAAGCATTCCTTGATAACTACACTGGTATAGATAAAACCAATGTTATACAGAGTGGTTTGTTATAAGACCATACGCTCATATGGGGTTCTAGAACAAATAATTTCCAACATTTTTTGTCAAACAAAACGGATAGGCGGAAATGAACAGTTATTAAAATATTTTAGTTTCATTTTAAAATTACGCCTCCGGTAACTCTAAAACTGAAAAAAAAACAAAAAGGAACGCGCTTGACCTAATTTTCTCTTTTTTAATTATCTTACTTTATTAGTTTACTCTATTAGTCCGTTCCTCGCGGTTAAATATGTACTTTACTTTGAACAGAATAAGTATTATTTTCTATTTTACTTACTTCAACTAATGCAGGTTCATCCATGTACCCAGCAAGGTTGGATAAGGCACTATGCACTGGTCGAGCTGGAGAATCTTCAACATACCTGTTTATTAAAAAAAACATTTATTTATTTATTAGCTTCTGCCCGCGACTTCGTACGCGCAATCCCGTTTTCTCCCTTTCGCGTAGGATTTTCAGGATTTTTTTCCATATGAAGATTCTCGTGACAATAACAAACACAACAAAAAAAAATCAAAGGTCTAGCCGTTCTCAAGTTATAGCGTGACAACGGGAAACGGGTTTAATTTATAAATATAAAGATTTACTTCATGCAGTCAATATACAATAGGCGGACTTAATGCCGCAGGCAACATTTACGTTTTAAAGTGAAAGTCAGAGCATAATAGTATAATAGACATTATTACAATTTGCTTATGCTTCGACGTACTCCATCGCAGACCGCGATCAAGAGTCCTTTATTAGACACTTTTGAAACGTCAAAAATGGAATTGTCCATCCGTCTGTCTCTTAGACGCTGGTTAAAAAGTAGTTTCAAATAGAAAAAAACGAGATTTGTAATTCGTATAATGCGTCAAGCGTGTCTTTGCATTGTTCTCACATATACGTACAGTATTGGAATATGTATCAGAGACATTGTAGAACATAGTTTTTTAAAAAGAGTAACGAATGGAGTTTCTTGCTCGTTCTTCTCAATTCGAATCTACATTTTGGAATGAGCCCCTAGCTTCACTGACGGACTGACTGACAGACTATTATTTATTTTGTACTAGCTTTTACCCGCGGCTTCGCTTGCGTCACAAAAGGATAAAAGTAGCCTAAATTTGACATATACCAATACACACAGCGCCATCTATACCAATACTTTTGTTTTCCCTCGGGAATATCAAAATTTTCTGGGATAAATAGTACCCTATTATTTTATCCGGACTTCTAACTTTACGTCTGCAAAAATTCAAATCAATCGGTTTAGTAGTTACGGCGTGAACGCGGAACAAACAAACAAACTCACTTTCCCATTTATAATAGTATATATGTATATAAGGATTTGTTGACGTTTCAAAAGTACCAAATTATGGTTTAATTGAAATAAATGCTTTGACTTTGACTTTACCATCGTTTCCAAGGGTTCCAATCAAACTATGGCTTGAGCATCTAGAACTCTTAACCTACTGGAGTTTAAAGGAATTTAATACTTACTCAGTTCTTATTGCGTTAATATTGTCTTTGACAAACTGCATAACAGTCTTGTAATTCTCCTGGTTACCAAGGAGGGCGTAGTTGAACGTGTTTAGTTTGTCATGGGACCTCACCTCTTTGGTTAGTGTTAGTTGTAAAAATCTAAAAAAAAAACAAAATTACTTTCAACCTTACAGAAATACCGAAACAAAAAAAATTTGTTATGCTTCTTTTTATTTTATAGCTGGTTGGGGTCCTCTAGCCACGTTTGAAATATTATTAACTAACTTCTGCCCAGACTTTGTACGCACAATCCCGATTATTCCCAGTCCGGTTAGTGATTTTCGATAAAAAGTAAAAAAAAAATATAATAAAAAAGTATTAAAATATAGATATGTCTGTCTACTGGTTCGGAGCTACCTCCCCATCAAAAAACGTCAAAAAACGAAAAGTCAACCCGGAAAATGGTTGAAACTAACTAGAGCAAGTTATTTTTTACTTAATACCTGGTCAATAATTCAGGGTCCTTAGTAGCTCCCAATCCTCTGAGCATTTCTAATTGATCATTGGCGTAGTTCGAATCTCTGAATTTAGAGAGTAAAAAGTCGAAGTCTTCTCTGTCTCCTTCCCTCATTCCTGTCACATAGACGTTGCGGCGAACACGAGAGTTGACCCTGTAATTGAATGGAATTAGGTTTTGGTTTTATCATTTGTTCCAAGTACTGTCACTTCTACCCAAATTGTGCTGCTATACCTAAGGATAGCTAGTCATAACTATATTTCTATTATGTTATATTAACTCTCCGTACAAAATTAGCCTACAAATCTTGGAAATAAGGTCTATAGTAGAGTGGTAACAGGGGATACTGTTGTGTTTCAAAAGAACCATTATTGTATATTTGCAGGTACACTTGATTGACTTGTTGAGACGCTAGGTCCGTGGGGTCCGAGTGCACTTAAATTATTCAAAAATATTTCAAAACGCCTGGTTGACACATCTCATGACCAGAGGGCTGGTCTTTTTCTCGGTCAGAGGTTAAGCATTGTCATACAAAGTGGCAATGCTGCCAGCCTTCTGGGTACTTTCCCCACTGACGTCGATGCGGACGAATTTTTCGACGCTTTATGTAAATAGTTGTTTTTGTTTTTTCTTATAATTAATTTTAATCTTAAGTTGTATTTAGGTATTTAATTTAGTAATATATAGTTTTATTTTTTTTTAAGTAATAGTTTATTTAGAATAGTTGTCTACTTTAGAAATAGTTCGTTTTAATTTTATTTAAGTTTTTATTTGAAAAAATGCATTTGTATATTGACTACTTACGGTATGTTATTGATTCTCCAATTAGAGAATCGGTCCCAAGATTCCTGGATACATTTTTCATGGCCCAGTAAGCATGCGAAGTGTAAGATGCTCTGCCTAGCCATCGTGACGGTGGGAGTCTCTCCCTCTTTTGGTTCAAATCCTAAAGTTGTGATGGCATGCTCCATTTGAGCTAGGACGTACGCCTATTGAGGAGACAAAAATGTTGTGTTATAGATACTTAAAGAAATATTGCTATTGGAAAGTTTTTGTAACACTAATTCACACTATATTCTAATATAGGCGGGCATTATTTTCTGGGGGCAGTCTACAGATAGAAAGCATGTCTTTAAAATGCAAAAAAGATATTTAAGGTCAATATGTGGTCTAAAGTCCACAGACAGAAGTACTACACACTTCAAATTTGAAAAAAAATAAACATCCTCCCCCTATATACCTATTGGAAACAGCTGTTTGAAAAAAAAATGCACACTTATTTCCAAAATTAAGGTCAATCATGAATGTTCCCATGCACATCCAATATGTTAACAAGTAAAGCCAAGTAAAATGTAAAACAGCATTTATGTACAAAAGTTTTTTTGGTAATGCCCCTCAAATTTAGAATAAGATTCCCAATCAAACAAAAAATACAACAGTGAATATATTTAAAAGTATTTTCAATAAATCATTGTTAGATACATAAATGCTATTACTCTATTGAAGAATTCCATAATGGTAATATTTCTTGACAATTTGAATTGATTTAATTTAACAAATAAAATAAATGATTCTGATTCTGATTCAAAAATTCCGCGTCAGAGTATTTCCTATATGTATACCAAACTTGATGTGAAATAGAAGACCAATTCAAAACAGTTATTGGCGCAAGCCAGTCATCTAGTAATTGAGTTGCTAGCCTAGTTTAAAAAATTAGTAATAATGAGGAATAAACATTTCAAAAAAATACTTACATCAAACTCGGCTTGCTTTTCAGGTATATGCCTGATCCTGGCTCTCAACCAATTGAAACCACTGATGGCAGGCTCCCAAACGTGGTTGTTGGTTTCCTTAGCTAAGAACTTCAAGATGTGCAGGGCAAACTCTATGGTGATTCTCTCAGACCTCATCAAAGCGAACACATCATCCACGATCTAAAATCAAATTTATCCATTTGACCACGAGAACAGAACCAATGTTCCAACCAACCAAACCAACCAACCAACCAAACATAATTATTTATTTTCAGAACTTTGTAATAAAAATCACATCATGAATGTTTTGTACTAACCTGGGCTCTGTTTAAGTAGTGAATACTGTTCGGATTGTTAAGTAGAGCGTCACTTATTAATTCCCAATTCCTTTTATCATAATTAACTCGGTAGTGACCTGAAATACAGCAAAATAAAAAAATAAAAACAGTACAACTCTCTCAAGTGTGGGAGAGCCTTGCTTCGGCACGAATGGGCCGGCTCGACCGGAGTGATATCACGGCCTCACTGAAAACCGACGTAAAAAAAAGCTTGCGTTGTGTTTCGTCGTGTTAGGGACGTTACCGGAGGCCCAATTACCCTCCCCTTCCCCAACGATCCTCAAACTCCTGATCCCCAAAAGGCCGGTAACGCACTTGTAATACCTCTACTGTTCCAGGTGTCCATGGGCGACGCCGATGGCTTACCATCAAGTGATCCGTCTGCTCGTTTACCGGCTTATGCCATAAAAAAACCTTTTTATTAGACTTCTGTTTTGATGTCTAAAGGAGTATGAGAAACTAATTATGGAATAATTAGTAATGTTAGTAATAAATCAAATATCTTCATTATTATGTTTTCGGTTTTTTTATATTTGATGGGCCGACATTTCATTACTATCTCGCCTGGTGGTAAGCGATGATAGGGTCTACGATAGAGCACGTCGTCCCATAAGCGACCTATTCACTCAGGCCTTGAAGGCACCCACAGGTACCCTTATAATACCCTTCAGGAAAAATACAGGCTCTGGCAAAGAATTCCACTCACTGGGATTTGTACGTATGGGTGGGGTGTTACTCATTACGTAACTGTTTGGCGAGGAACTTGACTAGTTCCAAGCCATACCCTTATTCATAAGCAGCAGTCCGCAACACGCGACGAAGCGACTGTCGCGATGTTTCCTAAACATCTTTTTAAACTAAGAGTTATCTACAAACATACCTTGTTGTTGGATGTTGAATATGACCCATTCTTCTCCGGGGGATTTTTCGATTCTGGTGCTATCAGTAGTCATCATTTGTGACGGTCTTAAGTTGGAGAAGTCAGCATTACTGCTTGTTGTATAAGTTATTGGAATAGGATACACCTGTTCAGTTGTCAGCTCAGTTGGATTCAAGAAGAATCGCTCCTGGAAAGTTGTTATGTAACTTTATATTAATATCTGCGGTTTGGTAATGTGATTTGTCCATAATATACGAGTAGAAGCTACGGTATTAAATAACTTCATAGAACCTTCTTCACAGAACCTTTAACTATTTCTTCATAGAACCTTCGCAACTATAAGGTAAAAGTGGAATTTCACAAGCGGACAAATGTAAATTGTTTTCAATCAAATATAAAATTTTCCTTTATCCTATTTTAATATGAAGTAATTGGTACTATTTTATGCTAATTTAACATAAAATATTAGGTATAATAATAAAAATTGTATGTCTTTTACTTCTTTAACACAATTATTGAGACAAAGAGCCTGTCTTCAGTAATACATTTCTATAAATAAAAATTAACCTTAAATAAAAATCAAACTAACCTGCTTGAGGTCCATATATCCTGTATCGTAATCAATACTAACAGTCAAAATAGGGTACCCGGGTTCATTGACCCAGATGCGATAGTAATCAGAGAAATTGAAGCCAGCATAGTTTGCCAAGCTGTTGTCATCAAGAATAGCATCGTTCATAGCTTTCAAGAGATCAAACTGATCAGTGGGTTTGAAAGGACTGAAAAACAAAAATTCATAAAGCTAAATTAATAATAAATCATACAGAAGCTAAAAGAACAGGAATGTAAGAAATGTATGTACATACTAATGGCATGAGAGCAGAAATCATGAAAGAAGATGTAATTAATATGCAAAAATGCAACGAAATTTCTAGTACTTATATTTGTATTGTATCTTTCGTGAGACATATGTAACACTGTTTTTGCGTCGACCCGGGATTCGAACCCAACACCAACCGGCAGGCGACTCTAGCGTGCCAACAGTGTCACGCGCACCACCGTCGCCGATACCACGAATAAAGGAAATTGCGTGTGAATCACGTCAGAAGGCGCGCTGGGCCCACAGACTCGAGTAGCCAGGTAGCAGCGCGACAGTCGCCGCGTCGCAGATCGCGAAATGCTGCTCATGAATATGAGCCTCTAGCATGGCTTGAAACTAGTCGAGTTCCCCGTCAAATAATTACGTTAGTAAGCCGAAAACTAATAATTTATATATAGTACATAATTACACATGAAGTAACACAAAAGAGTCTGTTGCTGTCAAAAGATCTGCTATATTTTGGTTCTTTGGTCCTTTTGATGAAAGTATATAAAAACCTGACTGCCTAATTAACCGAGTGGTCACAAGTGCAACTACCGGGCAAGGGGTCCCGGGTTTGATTCCCGGGTCGGGCAAAGTATCACTGGGTTTTAAAAAAATCTCAATTGTAGCATGGAGTCTGGAAATGCACTCGGTATATGGCAATAGGCTCACCCCCTATTACATGGGACTCTTACATGGGACTCATAACATAAATAGTGAAAAGTGCGTGTTACATTGTACAGTAGCATTAAATGCCGTAATGTGTACCTCTGCGTACCAAGGAATCTAAATGTTTATACTAACTTTTCCAACAAGAACAATCGGCAAGACTTCTGGAAAGTTTCCAATGACATGATATTGGCTGTCATTCTGAGGAAGGAGGCGGCTTTGGAGTAGCTGATGGTACCAAAATGTCCGGTCACTTGGAGAGGGGTGTTCACTTCATGGTTGAGGGGTACTGTAGTACGACTTGAGTCGAAAGCCAGTGATGTTTGAAGGTAACGATTATTGAAGTGATCAGGGAGCTCATATTCAGGAAACATCTGAAAGAGGAAAATAAAAATTAATCATTTGTATTGCTTACACTAACAATACTAACAGCAAGAATAAAATTTACAAGTTTATTAACTATTCACACCAGGGTTCGATTTCAATGTAAAAGATATATGAAAGACAGATGCATTGTCACTCTGATAAAGCGAGGACATTGTTCAAAGTTAATCTGTTATTAATTAGTCTTTAATTAACGAGAGGGTCAAATAAATTGCAAGGTTACACTTAATATTTTCATAAACCTAAGAAGAAAAAAAATCAAGCCTCCAAGATAAACGAAATAGTTTTTAGTACATATATTTTGGCAGTTACTGTTATAGTATGCTAGGTATATGTTTAAATGAATTAATAGACATTATAAGGGACGTAGATTTTGCTAAAGTGCATTTTCTTAAATATTTACTAGTGTTTAGACATTAAACAATCTTACAGCATGAGTTGCGATGTAGCCAAAGTAACTGGCATATCCCTCGTTGATCCAAGTGTTACTCCACCAGTAACACGTGATCAGATTGCCAAACCATTTGTGGGCGAGCTCATGGGAGACGAGCGTGGCAGCGTAATGTTCGATCGACATGATTGTCTCATTTTTATTAATTATCATGTACAGTTCTCTGGAAAAGAAGACGACACATTTCTGATTTGGGTGCTTATTCTTGAAACCAATCTCAATGTCAAAACTATGGAACGCCTATCGTAACTGTTATGTATATAAAATAGCACGCAGAGTACAAAATATAAAGCCAAACTCCATACTATTTATTAAATATCCACGCAATACAAATGCAATGGACGTTAGTGTTCCAGTTGTAACTTCAGTTGAAGAGTACGAAATTTCACAATACTAATGTCGATCGATCGGAATTGGATTCAAGAGTAAACCCCCCTGTTCATTTCTAAGAACTCCTACGAAGAACAAGTATTTTTTTACTTCCATCTGTTTTGATGGTGTATTTTCTGTTAGTCAAAGAATCTCACAATAATGTTTTAATTTTAACCATGATATTATGTGTGTATTCTACTGACCTGTAGCTAACCATACCCCAGTTCTCAGTGCCAGCTGAAGCCCAGTCAGGAGACGAAACGTGGTCATTCAACAAATTAGGGTGGAGTGTTGCGTATGGGATACCGAAGTAATTGTCGAAAAATTCTGTCATTTTGACGGCGAGTTCCAACACGTGGTCAGCTAGACCATCAGTGTTCGATCTACCGATGATCCTGATTGGTGGTTTGAAGGACGTGTCTTCGGCTATCACTTGGAAAGTCTCACTGACAAGGAAAGTTACCAGGTACGAAGACATTACAGGTGTGGCAGCGAAGTCAGTCCTAACACGATTGTTGGGTAATCTGAAAGTAGGGTAAGAGTTTTATTTGAATTTCGAAGACATTTTTTATTTTATACAAAACAGTTAAATTAGTACTTTCAAATAGTAGTCTAAACGTGAAAGGTTATAACAAAAATCAATTCATAATGCTTGCTAACTGATTGTTTTCTAAATTTAAGTGTGGGAGAGCCATGCTGCCACGAATGGGCCGGCTCGACCGGAGGATACCACGGCCTCACAGAAAACCGACGTGAAGAAACGCTTGCGTTATGTTTCATCGTGTGACTGAGGTTCCCGGAGGACCAATTACCCTCCCCTTCCCCAATCTTCCCAATTCCTGAATCCCCAACGATCCTTAAACTCCTAATCCCCAAAAGGCCGGTTCAGGTGATCCGTTTGGTCGTTTACCGGCTTATGCCATAAAAAAAAGAAAAACTCAGGTGATCCGTTTGGTCGTTTACCGGCTTATGCCATAAAAAAAAGAAAAACTCTCAGGTTGATCTTTCAGTCCTAGCTTATTTATCAAACAGAAGCTGTTCTGTTTACTTGATACTTACGTAACATTGCCAGTATTAACGGTATTGGAGAAAACACCAATGTAACCAGATGGTCTTGAAATGTGCACCTTGAATACGGCTTTAAAGAAGGGCTCGTCCCAGCATGGGAACGCTTGCCTTGCATTGTATGGCTGGAAGTGTGTCGTGGCATAGATCCTAGAAAGAGCATAAGAGTTCATAGCTTGTGACAATTACAATTACAAACTACGTGCAGTATTGGCAAATGTCATCCTTTTACAATTTTCAAGAGATATAAATAAAACTTTTTGTTTATGTACTTACTATTGTGTTAATGTATTTAAGATATGGTTTCATACTCCTCCCTTTTTTAATAATTAAAACGAATACTAACTCGCTGGGTTTTAACTGACATTAAGAATATTTATTTACCTTTCCACCTTGTTTTCATCTGTGTACCATCCTCTCCAAATGCCTCGCTTCATAGGACCTTCATTCATTGTACTAGAATATTCGATGTGTAAAGTGTAATTCACATTAGGGGTCAAAGGATTCACTACATTGACTTTCAAAAAATGGTATAAAGTTTCGGTCTCACGTGGCCTCAAGTCAACTTCGGCTCCAGCAAGGTTTTTAAGCTTTACTTCACCAATTGTATCGACGTTGGCATGTAATACAATTTGTGTGACGTTCTCGGCTTTGGCCTGCAAACAGTTATGATAAGTATAAGTTACATTTGTTTTAAATAAAAAGATTTAAATATGGTTTTCGTATTGTATTTTACGTTCGTAAAATGTATCTGTGTTGCTCTTATAATCATTTCTGGGAGAAATTTTAACGATAAATTATTTCTTAATTTTAACGTTAAGGTAATATTTGTTTTTGCGTACCTGGATGACAATGTCAACATATCCATCATAGCTGAAGGGTCTATCAGTCCTTTCATCGAAGAATAGATCGAGGTAAATATCGTAATCTAAAGGCACTACGGTCATAGGTAGCCTGTAGGCGCGTTCATCGTTTCTCGTGGCGGGAACCTCATCATATTCGCTTTCTTGGAACTCCCTGTACCATGAGAGGGGATGGTCACCCGCAGCCAGAGCCAAGAGCCCGAAGCTCAAGGCCACGAAAAGTATTTTGGACATTACTGCAAATATTTATGGTACAAAATTAATGTTAGCCAGCTCACAAAGTTTACTACTTACCGAAAATGAATATCTGATAATGGAATAGTAAATTGCGCAGATCGTCAGTTTTCTTATGTAATAATTATTTATTTTCGTTACGTTACTATTACATTATATTTTATATCCTAATTTCGGTGAGGATTCAGATTTTTTAGCATATATTTACTCTTACAAATAGATATTTTAAAACCAGTTCGGAAAAATAACAACGTTTAAAAATGAAGATGAAATGACCACACATTGCCCTCTTATACAGTTAAAAGTTTTGATTAATGTTGTATAAAACGATTTAATATTATAATGTAACAAAGTGAACACCTACCTGATGTCAATAATGTCCTGAACAATGGCAAATGTGATTAAACGTTACACTGAAATTGATTAAGTCAATAAAATCTTGATTATTAGGGGCCGATAAATAGCGATATCCAAATACTCTAGCGTTAATGGTCGATTCTTAGATAAACTATCTCAATTATTAGCTTACCCAGGATTATCGACGTGTTTTGTTACTTTACATTATTGTTATAAAAATGTACTAGCTCTTAATAGACAGAATCATATCAGAAACAGACCTATACATGTTTATTGTTTGAGAAGTTTAGAAATTTATATTAACTTATATATAACATAAATAATTATTGATAAGCATTGAAATTAAATGAAAATATACAACTTAAAATATAAATAACTAAAAAGTAAAATATTTACACCTTAAAAAAAGTAATAGGTAATAATAAAAATGTGTAACGCACACGGCGAGCCGAACATAGCCGAGCTAGGCTTCGCTCGCGCTTGCGCACTCGTCGCATCTCCGCACGACCAACGTGCGAATCTTCGAGAAAAAGTCAACACGCATGTGCGAGACGCACGTGACCCGCGACGTTCAAACAAGCGAGAGGCGGCCGTCACACAGCTCTGCATAGTTTTTTCAATTTATTTCCCTTAATCCCAGTTGGAAAAAATATTTTACGAGTTTTTCTTTGTTAAGATTACAGTGGCGCCCAACGTGGGGCCCGAATCACGAAAATACTACATTGAGTATTACTATGCCAAACACACGAGCTATGCGCGCTGCTAAAGCCGCGCTCGACGCGGACATCCAGCCGAGCGACGTCAGCGACCGCGAAGATTATGACGAGGCTACGGAGCAGAGCCCTGTACGGGCCCCCGAACCTATCCCCGCGTCTGAACGTACCGGCGCCAACGCTAGAACAACGGACACCGAAATGTTGCTAGCGAACATGATGGAATCATTCGTCAAGATGCAAGCTGAGACCAACAGGTGCCTGGTGGAGACGCTGAGGGCGTTGCCAGCGGCCTGCGGCCCATGGCAATCGCCGCTGCCGGCATCAACACCGACGCTGAACGCTACCACTACAGGATCGTCTGGGAACTTCGCCAAATGTACCGCACGGTTCAACGGAACTTCCCGTGAACCACAGGTGCTGGAAGCATTCATCGACGCTGTCCAAGTGTTTAAGGAGTGCGCGGACGTGAGCGATGATCACGCGCTGCGGGGGCTCCCGATGCTGTTGGAGGGCGACGCCGCCGTGTGGTGGCACGGCGCCCGCAACACCGTCGCTACGTGGAAGGACGCCGTGCTACGACTTCGCGCCATGTATGGTACGCCGAAGCCGGCGTATAAAACTCTACGTGAAGTTTTCAGCCAAGAACATAAACACGAACGTGCTGAAGTATATGTGTGTAGAATTAGGTCTCTATTAGTAAAGTTACCGTACGTAGTGCCAACACCCATGCAAATAGATATAATTTACGGGTTGTTACACCGTCGTGTACGTAAACGGTTACAACGTGACGACTTTGTTGACGTAGACAGTTTTATAGAGAAGGTGAGAGCCATCGAAGACGCAATCTCCGAATTATCGTTGAGTACCGAAAATTCTAGTTATACTGCAAAACTTAACGTTCCCGAGACAACAAATGTTTCCCACCCGCGGGCTTCGCGCGATTGCGATAAGAGTGATAAGAGCGAAATCACCACTATCCCGGGTAATTCGAACGAGAACGCGAAAAGGGTTAAACGCGTTCGTTGCACGTTTTGTAAGTTCTACGGTCATACGGTTGACGAGTGTAGGAATCTTAAAAATAAACAAGCCGCAAACATCGACTCCTTAAAAAATAATAATAGTAGCCCTGCCATTCGTTGTTATGGATGCGGTCAAGTGGGCGTAGTGAGGTCGAAGTGCGACCGCTGCGTCGGGAAAAGTGTACCTCCGCGAACGTGCGATTTTAACACAGTGACTAACGATGAGGCCACACACGCTCCGCACGTAATATCATCATCACATCCAACCGTGTACATTAACATCGCGAATAGGGTAGGCGCGGCAATCTTGGACACAGGGGCTAGTTGCACTATTGCGGGTACCTTATTATATAATATTCTGGTTTCGGAAGGAATACAGTTTTGCGAGTCAGAACGCACCATTGGGCTTGCGGACGGTTCTCGAAAACTGAAACGTGTACTCATCGCGACAGTTCCCGTGTTGTTGGAAGGTAGGCAGATAGAAACTGATTTCATAGTGTTACCCGAGGAAAAAACTGTAACCTTATTAGGTTGCGATTTTATTAGTAAGGCTGGTATAACACTAGACCTGGCCCAGGAATCATGGTATTTTTCTGACAACCCAGGGAAGATATTACCATTTGTGCGAACTGTCATTTTAAATAACGCCGAACTGATGCAGGCCGACATCTCTAATGTATCCCTGCGTGATGACGAAGGTAATGGGTTATCACCAGAGCACAGGGGCATACTCAACGCCTTTTTGAAGAGGAGATCAGCCCAGTTTGCTGCCGAGGGACCACCGACAGACTTCGCCATGCATAAGATCAAGGTAAGTGACGACCAGGAGCCTATTGCTTCACCTCCTTACAGGCTGTCACCGTTGAAGAAGGAAGCGTTGGAGAAGGAACTCCAAAAGCTACTCAGCGCTGATGTGATCGAGGAGTGTGAGTCGCCGTGGGCTTCGAACGTTGTTCTGGTCAGCAAGAAAGACGGGAGCTACAGGCTTTGTATTGACTATCGTAAGCTCAACGCGGTCACAGAGCCTGACCGCTACCCGCTACCCAGAATCGAGGACATCCTTCACGCTGCCAAGACGTCCAAGTACATGACGACTTTAGACCTTCGATCAGGCTACTTTCAGGTAAGCATGGATCCAGCACACAGAGACCTTACTTCTTTCACGACACCTTTAGGGACGTTTAGATTTAAACGCATGCCTATGGGACTTCGTAATTCTGGAGCTACTTTTCAAAGGTTGATTGATCGTTTCAAGTCCAACTTGCCAGGTGTCACTATTTTAGCTTATTTAGACGACCTGCTTATACTGTCTGAGGAGTCTTTCGAGAAGCACCTCGCAGATTTAGAGGCTGTATTCGATCGCTTGGCAATGTTCAATCTGCGAGTGAATCGTGAGAAAAGCCATTTCGCGAGGCAATCTGTCAAGTTTTTAGGTCATGTTATCGTACCAGGAGGGATTCAAATGGATCCTGATAAGACGGCAGCTATAGCTGATATGTCACCACCTCAAAACGTGAAACACCTTAAATGTTTCTTACAGACATCAAGTTGGTTCCGGCGGTTCATACCAGGTTATGCTGAGGTCAGCGCGCCTCTGACTACATTGCTGAAGAAGGCGAGCACCTGGAAATGGGGCCCCGAGCAGCAAACTGCTTTTGATACCATTAAGTCGCTTCTCGTGACCGCACCGATTCTTCGTCAGGCTGATGTGACGAAACCTTTCGTACTCAGAACTGACAGCAGCAGCTATGCTATAGGAGCGGCATTACTCCAGGGGGAGGGGACCGACGAGCGACCCGTAGAGTACGCCAGTCGCCTCCTCACGTCGGCAGAGAGGAACTACAATACCACCGAACGCGAGGCTCTGGCCGTAGTTTGGGCAGTCTCGAAGTTTCGAGGGTATATAGACGGATCAGAGGTAGTGGTCAAAATCTGATCACCAACCCCTCAGGTGGCTGATGGGTTTAAAATCTCCGAGTGGTCGTCTAGCGAGGTGGGCACTCACTCTACAGGAGTATAATCTAAAAATTGAATATACTCCTGGCAAGGCTAACGTGATCGCAGATACTCTTTCACGCCCCGTTTGCTCCACCGATATCTACTGTGACTTGTGTCTCACTGTAATGGATCTGCCTTCACGCAGCCCAAGTGAGGTCCAGGAGAATCAATTAAAAGACCCCGAGGTACGCAAGATCATAGACGCGATGGAGTCTAACGATCCATTTAGGGGGAGAGTATGGGCTGATAAAGGATACGTCGTTGTCGACGGAATATTGTATCGCTATGGGCCTGAAAATGAAGAAAATGACGACGCAAGCTTAGTAGTACCGGAGCATGAACGTAAGGATATACTAGCCGAATATCACGATGCTCCCACTGCTGGTCATTTTGGCGTGGAGAGGACATTGCAGCGACTCTCAGGTAAATATTATTGGGCTGGCATGAGGAACGATGTTTCCCAATATATAAAGAACTGCGTGGCGTGCCAACGTTACAAGGTGGACACGCGGAAACCTGCCGGTTTGCTTCAGGTACCAGCTACTTCTCGCCGATTCGAAGTCCTGGCGGTAGATTTGTTCGGGCCTTTACCCGAAACGCCGAGCGGCAACAGATGGATCCTGATATTGGAAGACACCTGCACCAAATGGGTGGAGTTGTTTGCTCTTCCAACTGCAACGGCTGAAGAATGTGCCAAAACACTGGTGAACGAGGTATATTTACGCTATGGAGTTCCCAGAAGGCTTATTAGCGACAACGGTGTACAATTTGTAAGTGAGGTCATGCAGCAGACTTGCCATGTAATGGGCATTAAGCAGTCACTGACGTCGTACTATCACCCGGAGTCGAATCCTGTGGAGCGCAAGAATCGCGATCTCAAACCACAGCTCGCAATCTTGGTAGGTAAAGA